AAAATCTAATCCCCTCTGGGATGTCTATTGACCGTTTAGGTGACAAGATGGATACATGTCCAGGAATGTGCAAAATAAGGCAATATGTAACTCAGTGCCGAAATTCGCAGCAAATGTAGTAAGTACTGGAGGGAATGAGCGAATGCTTTCCCCCCTCCGCTGCTCCATCTCGCCTCTTGTTTGGGTGGCTTTGCCAGACAACGCGTGGCAAGACCTGGTCTCCTGGAGGTGACGGAGAAAGGTCTTGGGCAGGGTGGAGTCAGGACCCTTTAGCAGATTAAAAGTAGCAGTGGGTATGTGAGCATGTGTGTTCAGCGTGCGTGTGCACGTGTGTATACTTGTGTGTGTGCTTGTGTGTGTCTGAATGTGTGCTGGGAGAACTGGGTAGAGAAGTACGGAGAGTCAAATGTCCTTCCCTGCAGAGCCTGTTGGAATGACAGGCCCTATAAATAACCTTATTACAGCTTTTTACTCATCAGGCTGAGTCCAGAGAGCTCACCAGGGACTTGGAATATAATCCTTGCTCTGCTGCTACCTTACCGGGCCGCCCAGTGTCAACCATAATGTGAAGCAACTCTGCCCACTCTGGAGCTAATTAGCCAGATTGCAGATGACTCAGTTCTTCCTCTGCCTTTTCCTCCTCCTCCTCATCCTCCTTTTGAATAGTCTGCTCAATCAGGAGTGGTATTCAACTGCTAGTTAACAGAAGCTTGAAAAACAGTGGTTTAAATATATTAGAGATTTATTATTATTGTAGCTTACACAAAAGAGATCAGAAATCAGGGTTTCAGGTTCCTTTTGGCTTTCACTTGACCATCCCTAGTCTGTGCTCCTTTTCTTCATTGCCTCAAAATGGCTGTTGGAGCTCCAGTCATCACGTCTTTATTTCAGGCATGAATAAGGGGAAGAGCAGAGGATAAAAAGAGTTTCTGCCAGCTCCGTCTGGAGAAGAACCATCAAGTGACTTCTGCTTCCTGGACTTTTTTTTCTAAATAAAATGTGGGTTTGTTTTTACTGTGAAATTGAATACACAGGCACAGAGTAAACACCCTTGCAGTATAAAAAAGGATGAATGAAAGTAAACTTCGCATCCCTCTTCACTCCTATCTATGGCCTCAGTCCTGTGGCCCAGAGGCTACACTTTATGGTTTACCTGGCCATTTTCCAGATGTTTTCTCTACACATGTGCACATGTGCATTGTTTAAAAAACCAAATGGATCATACTTTACCTGCTGTTCTGCAATTTGCTTTTTCCATTTGTATATTGGTGCTCATGCCATATCAGCACCTGGAGAACTACCTTATTTTTTTTTAATGGATATGTGGCATGATTGTACAATTATTTATTTACTGAATGAATCCCCAGTGGAAGAACTTTCCAGTCTTTCCAGGTTTTTGCTATCAAAATCATTCTCCAAACACTTTAACAGGATTCCTGGCTTAGTCCTGCTATCCTGATTGGAAGCTGACCATGGTAGCTGCTGGTGGTGGGAGGGGGAGTTGCTGCCTCTAGAAGGTCTGGCCCTCTTGTTCCTGGCTCTTCTCTGGTCAGGCTCATCTCTGGCTCCTCTGTGTGGGGCCTGAACCCATGGCTTCCTCCTTGTCCCAGGGACTCCACATCAAGGGTAGAGCAGGGTTGACGCACGAAGGTGCCCTAGGCAGGTTAATAGTCTGGTGCTCTGGGCAGGTGAATGATATGGAGCTCCTTCAATTGGAGGAGAGGCTGAGTGCTGAGCAGAGGAAAAGGTGGCCTGGTGGTGGCAGTTCTCACCAAGCCTTTGGCTGCCAGCAAAAAGGAGCCCACCCTACAGTTCAGTGGACCAATCCTCCATGGAATAGATTTTAGTGACCACCTGTTATTACTTGAGCATAACCCTTGGAGTCTCCCCCACCTGCTTCCCAAACCTCATCTGGAACAGCTCATCAAAGCCTTCTGTCCAACCACATACAATACTCACCCCAGACAAGTTCTGGACTTTGCAATTTTCTCCACCTTCAATGTCATTTTCAGTGAATTTCATCTCCCCTGTGATGCTTCCTGCTCTCCAGTGATGTTCCAGCGCCCTTTAGAGCTACGACCCAGCTGCTCCACTCCTTGGTCTGGCTCAGCTGAGGACCCTGGGGCTTCTCCTGCCTCTGAGGCCGAGGCCAGCTTCATTAAAAGGGGCTTTGTTGCTGGCAGGTTTGACCTGGCTTGTGGTCCTCTTAGGTGGTCTGGGGCAGGCCAGATGCCTCGGCTGGCTAGAGAGAGAGAGAGAATAATAATCACTTTTTAGCTTGACTTCATTTTTTAAATTATTTTTTAATTAACCATTTGGAGTCCCATATCTTGACTTTAAAACCTTGCTATGCTCTCTTTAAATTCTTTTCTTCTTAGTTTTTCTGTGCTGTAAGCTTCAGGTTATAAATTAGAAAAAGGCAAGGTGGCCATAAACCTTATTTGTCAGCAGGTCCTTGGGCGGAAGAAAACAGTCTTTGGAAGGCAGGGCCCGGCAAACCGAGGCTCATAAGGTCACATGTTGGATTTCTGGAGATGTGCCCTGGATGTTTCCCAGTGGTCACAAACTGTGCTCTTGGCCCAGATATCACTGGATAAATGCCTTAGGAATGTTGGTTACAGTCCACCCGGTAAGTGAACATTGGTGGATTATTCCCTAACCATTGCTACTATGAGAAAACAGCTCAGTGTATGTTCTGCCAGTAGTGGGATATGATGAGTAGGGAGGGCCATATGCAAAGGCCCTGGAAAGCTGTGTCGCTGGCCATCTGTGTGGAGCAAGAGGAGCAGCTATGTGCCAAGTATGCTCTGGCCCCACATGCGCAGCAGACACCTGTGTGGAAGCTCATGGAAATTCATTAGTTAATACAGAGGCTATCAGACCTGGTGGCCACGTCAACAAAGAAATGTCTCTGCTTGGATGGGACCCAGAAAGAGGGAAGAGGAATGGGAAGAAGACATGGAGGTAAAGAGAGATAGTGAAACTTCCCAAGTTGGCCAAAGAAAGACCCAGACAGGACCAGGCAAGCAGATGCCACATCTGGGTCCCTGGGAGTGGGAAACTCAGCTGGATCAGATACCAAGGACCCAAACTCCCCAAATCAGACTTAAACAGAGCCTGGGGCAGCCATACAGGCATGACTCAGTGTTCAGAGGTGGACGTTTCGGAACGGGGTTGACCCGGTGAGCAGAGGCGGATGGGAAAGTCATGTGGGCAGCTCTGATGAAGGGGAGTCAGATATGAGATCTTGCCAAAATTGTCTTCCTGAAACACAGATGTGATCAGATTTCTCTGCTCAAAAATCTTTAGTGGCTCTTAATTGCAAATATCATTATATCTAAGTACCTTAACGCAGTACTCAAATTCCTCCACAATTTCACTCCTATCAAGTTTTCTGGCCAAAAACAGCTGCGTATGATTTTCTGTAATCCCCTCACCTTGACTCCCTGCTCACAGTGTTCCTCGCACTTAGAGTCCCCGTCATCTCTCCCGCTGTCCTAGATTCCCAGAGCACTCTGCTCTGTCCTTACGATTCTTCTCTTTTGTGCAGGTATCAATGTCTTTGTCCCTTCTTGATCATAAACATACTTATTCAAGGGTTATATCTTGTTCGTTTTTGTATTCGAAACAACACCTAGCCCAGCACCTTGCATGCTATAAATCCTCAATCTGTACTTGTTGGAAGTCAGCAGAATGGTTTTCAAAGTCACCCAGGACTGAAACAGAGGAGAGGCATGTGGGATCATCTGGGAGAGTGCTTATAGGGGTCATGCGTGCTGATGGGGGCAGCCAGACCCCACTACAAGGGCAGCAGGGCCTTCCCATTGGTCCCCATCCAGAGTGGTGTCCTCTCTGGGGGTGAGAGGCCACATACTGGGATGGCTGCACCCAGGAGTAGTGGAGCTTTTGCTCAAGCAGAAGCCAGTACTTCTGGGGTTGGAGCTTGAGTTGGAGCCATGAGCTAGTCACAGAGACTGAGAGTAGGGGAGGGGACTTCAGCTCTGCAGGAGAAAAAAGATGGTCTGGCCACTCTGAAGTGAGTTATCAGTGCTGCTATTGTCTCAGGCTCCCTAACCCCAGGGACTGAATCTGCCCTTCACCCTGGGGCCCCAAGAGGTGTCATCAAGTCACATCAAGTCTTATAATTCTGTTTTTCCCAACACCCACCTTTCTATTGCACCGCCCCTGTCTGGTCTCCTAACATCCTCCGTCCTCATCTTTGCTCTCCCCTTTGCCTGACTCCTCTAAAACTTGCACACAACTGCCGTAAGAATGATCCTTAAACACTGATTATCATGTCACCCACTTTATGAAAAACCTCAGTGTGTCCTCAGTGCTTCCAAGATAAATTATAAATTCTTCAACCTAAAATTAAAGTGCATTGTTGATCTATCCCCAGAATTCACACGCATCCTTTTTTCTCACTCCCTACCTTCTCAGACCTGTGCCAGCCCTTAAATCTTGCATTTGTCATGAGGTGTTTTCTGATCTCTTCTACCCACGGCAATCTTTACTTCTCTGAACTGCTATGTTCCTAGAAAAGCTGAGCCTATATCTGTTGCATTAATCCTCAATTGATGCTTAAAAACATGTAATGCTTTGTACAGGTACTTAATTTCCCCATTGTTAGATTACAGTCTCTTTTGTATCCCTCCTAGCCAAGTGCTGGGAATGCAGCAAGCGCACAGTAAGTGTTCATTGAATGAAAAAGTGAAGGGAGGCATGTTGACTGAAGAGGGGAAGTGGGTAGTGTGCCTTTAGAGCTCTTTGGTTTTGTTCTTGTTGGGGTGTGAATGATACTTGTGGCTTTTGGCTTGTCGCCAAACTCCCTAAGCATCATTTCCTCATTGGTAAGTTGAGGATAACCTTACAGAGGTTATAGGTTATGGTGAACACCAAATAAGAAGTCACACATGCAAGCGCTTTATGAACTCCTAAAATAAGTTATTAGGGGTTCCCTTTAAATTTCAATGATAAAATATTTTCCTTCTTACTTTCAGACTTGCCACCTTATTTCTCGAAAGAGGGCCCAACAGGATAGGCAGCATTTACAAAAAGGCTATTTACCGACACTTCACAGATGAGACCTATTCCACGGAGATCCCCAAACCTTCCTGGCTTGGATTCCTGGGCCCCATCCTGAGGGCTGAAGTGGGTGATGTGATTGTCATTCACTTAAAGAACTTTGGATCTCGACCTTATTCTTTGCACCCACACGGCGTTTTCTACAACAAAGACTCAGAAGGTAAATGTCAATCCTATGTTACTGGAATCTTGCCTGTATTTCATAAGGTGACTGTCAGTTATGGTTACAGGGATTCTAAGAGCACAGTGGTTACACATGCTCGTGTCTTCTTCTTCCCATCTCCTCTCTCCATCTCCATCGACTGTTTCCCCCTCTCTTCCTTTTTCTTTCCTTTATTTCCTTCCTCTCTTCTGTCTTGTTCTTCTTTATGTTGACACAAAACTGGGTGTGGGGCTCCTTGGCATGTGCCCCATCCACTGCGCCCCAGATAGTGATAGCTTCTACTCACTGCTTTTTTTCCTGAATATGGGTCACAGTTTCCTGTTTCTTTTTTTTTATTATTCCAGGGTTTTGTGAGGGTACAAACATTATAGTTACACTTTTTGCCTCACCCAAATGCAGGTTAAAGTCATGCCCTTCCCTCCCTTTAGTGCTCCCTGTGTCCTTTAGTTGTAGATTTGCCCCCCCATCCCCCTAATCCCTAGAGAGTATTTCTGCCATGTGATCAACCTATTGTTGATCAGTTAGTACCAATTTGATGGCGAGTACAAACGGATCCTGTTCTTCTGCTCTTGTGGTGCCCCACTTTGGATAATGGGCTTAAGTTTAATCCAGGAAAGTGTAAGAGGTGCTAGATCACTGTCGTTTCTTATAATTGAGTAATATTCCATTGTAAACATATACCAAATTTTAATAATCCACTCATGGATTGACGGACACTTGGGTTGTTTGGCAGCATAATTCGCTATTGCAAGAATGTGGAAAAAACCCAAGTTTCCTGTTTCTTTGTGCATAATTTTGTTATTGTTGTTGAATACTGGACGTTTTTGAGAATATGTTGTAGCAAGTCTGGATTCCCCTTTCCCCCTCATCCCTGGTTTTTGCTGTTGTTTGCTTGCTTCTTTGTTTAGTAACCTCCCTGAGACGAATCTGTAGAACCTGTCTTCCCTGTGGTGTGTGGCCACTGAAGTTTCTGCCTTTTTTTTTTTTTTTGGCAATTCTTATTTTTACTTTTACATGTGGTTCCTGAGGGGTCAATCCTATGTCTGCTTAGCTCAATGGTCAGCAAACGATTGAACAGAGATTGTGCCTAAGCATCTTGAGCCAGTAAGTCTTTTGTTTTCTGCCAGTGAATTGTGGGTGGTTAAGGATCACATTCAAAGTTTAGGCTATTTTTGTTTGCCTTCCCTTTTACCTTTTGCTGTGTCTCTTTTCTCTACTTTTGGCATGAACACAGCCTCAGAGTCAGCCAGGAGAATGTGAATAACTTGAGTCCTCTTCAATCTCTGCTGTACCTACACACAGCCCCATTGAGGAACATGCTTGCTCCAACCATCACTGCAACTTCAGGCTAGTAGAGCCAAACTATTGCTCCTCCCTCCTCTCTAGCCACCAAGATCACCATTTCTATGATAACATTTCAGTGGGTAGGCAATGCCCATTACTTCAAATCAAGTGATATTCCTTCAGCTATGGTAGAAAAACTGCCGGACCTCATTCCTCAACATTTTTGCGAAACCATCTCTCCAATCAAGTTGAGGGTAGAGGAAAGATGGGACAGGAACAACCCCAGGCAAGAGTGTCATAGACTCTCACTCTTCTTAGCTGATGATCAAGCTGTTTTTCAAGGATAAACATTGGTGGATGCCTTTATTGAATTTCTAGAGAACTGAAATGTTTTGTTTTTTTTTTTTTAAATCTATTCTGTTCAACTTTGTAGTTACTTTTGGAGAAGAGGATTTGCTGACCTCTTCTCCTTCCTTTAATCGGTTTTTGTCTTGGCTATAGCTGCAAGATTAATAGTCTTGGAGTCTCTGCTCAATTCAATTTAGTGTTTGGTGTGAGCCAGATACATTTCTGGATAATAGGGCTGCAAAGATGAGGAAATATACAGTTTCTGCCTCTAAGATACTCATGCAGGGGAAGTGTAGAGAATGAACTTAGACAAAGTGGGTGGGACTACCATTCATTGAGCAGCTACTGTATGCCAATGCCTGTGCTAGAACTCTTATATACTTCCTTTCATTTAATGATAGAATGAATTAATGCTTTCTTGATCTACATATGAAATATGTTTTAAGTATTAGAACTATTTTAAAAATAAATTTTATTGTTTTTTTTAAATATAGAAAAGTATAAGGAAGGGGAGAATGACACACAATCTGATTCTCTACATACTCATTAAAATTATTTCAAAATAAAAATCTAAAGAAAAAGTAGTATATGAACAAGGTTAGCAATTCTTAAGAGTCCAAAGAGGCATAAAAAGAAAAGTAAAGGGCCCTTTCCCTTGTATTTCACCCCAAAGGCAATCACCTTTAACAATTTCTTTGCTCATCTTGAAGAGACTCTCTCACATGAAAAAAACAAACAAAAATTTCTTGTAATTTTTTCTCAGAAATTTTTCTATGCATAGATTAGCATGTATATAAGTATTTACATATTCTTATTCATTTATACAAAGGGGTTATGCTATAACACCTTCTGTTTTTCACTTTTTACTTTGTCTTGGAGATTTTTTACTAGTAGTACATATAGAGAGACCTCCTTTTGACAGTTGTGCAGTATTCCATCATATGAATATATCAGTTCAGTATTGATAATTATTTAGTTTGCTTCCAGTTCATGCAATGTGAAAAACATTTACAACTATGTTTCTAGAATAAATTATTAGAAGTGAAATTGCTGGTTATGTTCACATACATTTTTTTGGATAGGAATTGGCAAGTTGTCTTTTGAAAAATTGCATATTTTACTCTTCTACCATTTGTTTACCAGCCAGCTTGTTTCTCCCACAAGCTCACCAACCCTCAAAATTCTCAAATCTGATAGGTGAAAAATTGTATAATTTTTAAAAGCCCCTGGAACATATATAACCAAAATGAATAGTGTTTTATACTCATATTATTAATGTTACCATTGCTCAAAATCTTTATAAACTCCTTGGGAATGACTTTCAGAACAATTTAATAAGCTACCTACCCTCAAATCACTTCTTGCTTTATAGTCACATTTTATTTTGGATCCCAAATGGTATTCCTCATCTTGAGTGGTGGCACAAAGGATCTGTTTGGAGATTCTAGCTCCTCGTTTCAATGATAGCCTTCAACAACTCCCAATAATAATAATAATGAAAAATAAGTCCATTAAGTAAATTGTGAATATAAGAATCTCTAGAACAATTGCTATTTGTATTAATTCATATCATATAAATAATCAGCACAAAATGAATGACCTCAATCAGAGCTTCATGACAAGTCCACTACTCGCCCACCCTCCCTAGCTCTTGACTCTCACCCTCTCCATAGATATATTCAGAAACTTCTAAGCCATGCATGTTATTCACAGGGCTTTGGACAAAGGTGGTGTAAAGTAATACCACTTATTTATTATTTTGTTCAATGTATATGTATTGAGAACCCACTACACTGGGCACTGGAGTAGATCCTACAGATACAATTATGAGCAAAATGAAGCCTGGAGTTTGCTTTAATAGAACTTACAGTCTAACATGAGAGGCAGACATTAATCAAGCAATTGCATATAATATATATATGTGTGGGTATATATATATATGCACACACATATAATTAAAAACTTAGTCAAATTCCATGAATAAATAATAAAATAGTTTATTGAATGGTTTTATGTTCCAGGCACTGTGATAAGTGTTTTGCAGATACTAGATCACATAGCCTCAATGACTCTAAGAGGTAGGTGTTACAATTATCATCACCTAGCAGATAAGAAGCTAAGACTCACAGAAGAGAAAGAAATTGCCCAAGTCACACAGCTAACAAGTGATGGAGACAGGATTTGATTCTAGGCAGTCTAACTTCAGTGGCTGTGAGCTTAACCACTGGCTCTACTGCCCTTCTCTCTTGTGAATGCATTTTAGAAAACTGACCCAGTCCAGGGAGTTTAGGGTTGTTTGAGCCAGATCGTTCTGGACCTTGTAGTCTATGTTAAACACATTTGACCTTCATCCCGACACTGACGGGAAGCCATGGAATGATTTCAAACAGGGAACAATATAATCGGATTTGAGATTTGAAAAGATCACTCTTGTGATAGTTTGGAAAATGGATTAGAGAGGTGGGAGATTCAGGGAAGGCAGAGAGGAGGTTACTTCAGAAGTCCGGGTGAGAGATGATAGCATCTTGGACTAGGATTGTGATGATGGAGATGGATGTAAATGGATGAATTTGAGAAGACGCAGGGACAGGACTTCGTGTGCTTTAGAAATGGAGAGAGAGGAAGAGCACGAATATAAGAATGCTTGCTTTGTATCTGGCTTGTGGCATTGAATATTGGTGGTGCCTTTCACCGGGAGAAGAGGCAGTGGCTGAAGACCAGACTTGGGAGAAGAGAGCTAATGTTCCCTGGGGAAGGTTGCATTTGAGATCTCCTCGAGATTTACGAGTGGATATGTCTAGCAGGCAGCTGGATCTCAGTGTGAAGCTCAGAGGTGAGGTCCAGGCTGGAGATAAACGTGGGAGTCACTGGTGTGTCCCTGATTGGTGGCACTGTGGGGTGATGCTGTCAGCCTGGGAGAGAGTACTGGGCACAGAAGGAAGGCGCCAGCATTGTATCGTGAGGACTTCAAACAAGCAATGGCAGAGAGAGGAGAATGAACTGGAAAAGTGGGCTGAAAAAGAGTGGCCAAAGAGGACAGTGTGATGTTGCAGGAGGCAAAGGAAGAGAATTGTTTAAGAAGGGAGGAAGCTGACAATAATATCAAATGCTGTTGAGAGGTCAGATAACAGGAGGAATTTTTTAAATGTCATTTATGTTTAATAGATGGAGGATAACCCCCTGGGTTTTTCCTGTGTTCTATCCCATGACCAGGTTAGAAAGCAGCAAAATACATTAATTTAACTTTGAGTAAAAATGATTTTGTCAAAATACTATGCAGCATTATGTTCTCACCTGGTATTGAGAGACAATGTAAGAAATTATTTTTAAAAGAATATTTTTGCATCTTTTGGATACCATTCTTAAAAACATAAAAGACATAATTCATTATAGTACTCAGTAATTTATACATAATAATTTTTTTGAAAAATACTCTCTTAGAATCTAGAAGTAGCAAAAAGTTCCTTTCTCTTAATGAATCAGTAAATTTCCTTTTACTGGACAAAGAAACCAAATAACCTAATTATATTGATCTAATATATAATAAATATATATCTAACAATATAGCATAAATATAAACTGAAAATTTAGAGCTACAATTAATATGAAAAAGATTTAACTAAATTTATTTCCTGCTTTCTGTATATAGGCTTTATCTTTTGAGTGTTATGTGTCTTAATTTGCAAATGATTCATATTCTTTTCAGAAGAATTAAATGTTAGTATGTAAAGGAAAGTTAAGTTAATAAATAAGTAAAAAATAGTTTGTATACTCTATTCCCAAAAATTTTGATGGGAAATCAGATACAAACAGATTCAAATCTGGCTTAGCCACATGCTAGCAGTGTTACCTTAATTTAATCAAAAAAGTCAATGTTAATACCTACCATATGGTACTGCTTTGAAGAGTGACTGTGATAATATATGCAAAGCACTCACTCTTCTTGGCACATCATAGGAGCTTAACTGTTGTTATTTTCTACTGGCATCTTTCTCCAAACATCAAACTATGTTTTCATCATAGAATTGTTTTAAAAAAAAGTAAGATTAGATTTTTTTTAGTTATATCTTACCTTTGGCTTGCCTTGGCTACACTGGCCCTTGCTGTCGTATTTGAATTTGTATTCCTAATGCCTAGCACATTTATTAGCATGTAGACCATCGCCACTTCATGTTGTTGAATGAATGCATGAATGAATGAATGAATGGTGAATGGACTTGGAGTATGTCCACGTCCATCACCCTCTCTGTCCCTCACCCTCCAGCCTTTTTTCAATACTAGCCCAACTCCTCACAGTCCTTCAGGGGACCTCACTTCCCACCTCTGTTGTGAAGCTTCTGATAATTACAGTGTGCATAGGTTGGTCTCCTGCCTTCCACCCAGCTGGTTTTCACACTGTTTTTAGCAGTGGACTTTCCTTAATTGAAAAATTTTGTGTAATCTTAGTTTATGGAACAGGGAGTAACAGGATGCTCTGCCCACTTGCCCCTGCCCACTCTTGCATGGTGCAGGTCCCCTCTGGGGTAGCCCATATATTTTGACCCAAAATTACATTAACACATCACCCTGTTTTATTCTCCAGTTGTCCTGTGTGTTCATAATACATACTCTGGTCTGCCCGATAGAACTGTAAGATCCCTGGAGGCAGGAAGAATGTCTTACTCTTCCTTCCTATCTCTCATAAGACCTACAGAGGGCTGAATCTGTAATAGGTCCCCAGAAGTGTTCATTGTTTCTTCTTCTGCTTCTCCTTCCCTTCTCGTGTTGATGTCAAGTGAGGTGAATTGAAATCTTCCTGACTGGTGCAAGAAAGAGTCCTTATTATGCACATTTATTAAGCTCCTGGTTCTGTGCAAAGCACTCTGTATACATTGCTTCATTTAGTTCTCATATCCCTTCCGGGTAGATGGCAACATTCTAGGTAAAAAACAGAGGCATTGATAATTTAAGTAACTTGACCCAAGTCCCATAGCAAATAAAGTTTAATTCAGTTATGTTTGATTCCACAGCTCTGGCCCTCTCCACAACCGCAAGTGAGCTCTATTTTACCTATGTTTTATTTTTTCTTGGAAGGAGCCCTATACCCAGATGGAACATCCGGAAGGAATAAAAATGATGACATGGTTCCTCCTGGCAAAAACTACACCTATGTCTGGCCAGTGAGAGAAGAATACGCACCTACTCCAGCGGATGCGAACTGCCTGACCTGGGTGTACCATTCGCACATCGACGCCCCTAAGGACATCTGCTCTGGGCTCATTGGCCCCCTGCTGGTGTGTAAGGAAGGTAAGGAGGCCTCCTGCTCTCCAGGAGCCTGTTTCCAGGTAACTGGGCTGTTGAAGTGCGACTAAGATTCAGGTCTTGTTTTGCCTACCTCCCTCGCTCTGCATAGAATGGGTCTCTTCTTCCAAACTTTGTTTAAGGTTAGGGAAATTCTCCTAACATGGAAGGTCAATCTGACACCACAGCAGAGGGCAGTAATTCAGATCTGTCTAAGAATCGTCGCAGCATTCTGAAACTTATATATGTATTTTTAAATAATGACATTCCATAACACCACACATGTGAAAGTGAAAACTTTGGTCAAATGACAACAGATGGCTTTTGCTTCATTATTTCACCCAAATAATCCATTTGCTATTTCATTCCCTATTAATTGATTTATTGTGTCTATTTTGTCAATAAAGTTGACTTCCTTTACAAATAGCCAGGTTTCTAAGTCTGCAGTTGTGAAGAATTCTATTTTATGACTTTTCTCTTCTATGGTTCTATCATTTCCATTAAAGCCTCTTGCTGCTTTTATATTGTGAGTTATCCTTGTCTGTATAGGTCTTCAACAGACTTCAAACTTACCCAACACTATTGGCAGGAAGCAAAGCTCATCTTGATTTAGTTCACCTTGAACTGTTTTCTCAACTCTTTTGAACTTTCTTTCTATTCTGATAGGTACCCTAAACAGATATTCAGGTACAAGGACTGATGTGGATCGAGAGTTCATTATAATGTTTACTCTTGTGGATGAGAATCAAAGCTGGTACCTCGATGAAAATATCAAACATTTCTGCACTGACCCCAATTCTGTTGACAAAGAAGATGCTGTTTTCCGGAGGAGTAACAAGATGCACGGTGAGTATCTCCCATGTTCTCCAACACATACCAGTGCCTTTTGTACTACGAGGTACCACAAAGGATGCAAAATACACAGAAATGTTGAACCTAGTTTGGCAACATTTATATCTTAAAGATAAGAGTGGTTGGAAAGTGATAGAAGGTGTGATACGTGTCAGAACATGAAACCATCTGAGAGGGAACAGGGCAATAGATACATGCTAAATTGGGCGTGCAACATGGACAAAGCCGTGGTACAGAGATGGAGGGATCAGTGTCATACCATAACCAGGAAAGAATTGGTGCCCAAGATGAGCCCAGAGGTGGGGTGGGTTTAGATAGACTGAAAGGAGAAAGGGGAATGAAATTATCATCCTATATGAATTCTGTTTCTTGCAACCTGTTGCTTTATCCAGTAACCATGTTCCGAGTGGCTGCTAAATTTTAAGAACTATGCTCTGCATGGGGTTTAAACACTTGCTTGTGATTTTGTTATTTCTCTCAGGCATTCTTTAAATCAACAAAATGTACTGGGCATCCACCATACACCAGATCCTGTATTTGTGCAAAATAGTAAACTTCTCTAGTTACCCTGTCAGTTGAGACAGAACACTTAACCCATGCCTGTTCTATATCGCAGTGGCTTTAATGCAGCATTTTAGGATGTGAGGATTAAGGGGTCTCTTTCCACTCTTTTTCTAGAGAGTTCTAGTGAACATAAAGGAAATGTAAAGATCCCACTTCATTTATTGACAGATCTCCTCTATCTCTTGCTTGTCTGCCTTTGAGAATCATCCCAACCGCGGCAGCCTCAATGTAGTCATAAAATCATAAGAGAAAGGGAAGGAGTTGAAGATCATTTGACCTCTCCATTTTACAGATGAAGAACTCAGGGCAAGTGACCATCAATGACTTGCCTAAAATCCAAGTAATAATTAGTGCCAGAGAGAACCTGAGAGAAGTCGCATAGTAAATAAATAGTATTAGTACTTTGGCTGTGTTCAATTCTAAACCGCACGGAGGTGTGATTGTCAGCAGCCTATTTGCATTGTGTCACTGGCCTTCTCTTTTCCTTCTAGTGTTGTTTCAACAATTTTGTGTGTAGTGACGCTTGGATAACAGTTTAGGAGGGAAGCAAGTGAGGGAGAGAAGGAGAGGAGCAGAAAGGGAGGCAGAGAAAACAGTGAAGGATGGATCAATGAAGACCTGCATTAAAATCATTGTCATGACCAGTTTTATTCCTGTTCTTTACCAAATGGGAATACTGATCTCAAATATTGCTGAAAACTACTAAATGTGATGATTTAAGACACACAATTTATGTGAATTATGTCCACGTAATTCCTCTTACTCTGTATTTATTCTTTTGAAGTGAAAATGTCCAACAAAAAGGAATGAATTACATAAGCAAATATAGACTACATTTAAAATAAAAACCAGCCTGTACACAGAAGTAGATGTTTACAAACAATCGATCCTTCTTCAAGACTGGCATAGGAGACCTAATCAAGTATAGAAAAAATTTAATTAAAATAAAAACTAGTCTATGGAAGATAATCAATACATGAAAGATTTATTGATCAATTTATTTAATTTTGCTAAAATGATTTAGAACTAATTGTGCTGCCTAAGTCACCATAATCTTAGTAACAATTGCTTTTTAACTCAGTTTGAATTTAAGAAGGGATGTTGACTTTTTAAAGCCCTGAATCAACTTCTTTTCTGCACTTGGTCATGTCCCATCTGCCATTTATATGGTTTTAAAGTATTTGGTTCCAGACTTATGGTATAAGCTCATTGAGTAAGATTCTGCCCCAGCAACATCTAGTAAAAACTGGTTTTCTCCCTGCTTTTTAAAGTAACGAAATATAAACATGTTCATAAGTCCCTTCTAATCAGTTCCTTTTCTTTCCATTTTGCTGCATGCTTTTGTCAATTAAGTAGGGACTATGTGCCGGCTTTCCTGCTAGGTCCCTATAGCAGATGGGGTTTCTAGTTCCAAGGGACGCAGAGTCTGGTGGAGATGGCAGACATACCAGGGAAGGATTAGGACAGGAGGGCGCTGAGCACCCTGGAAGTATGAGCAGCACCGGTTTCTCCTGACCTCATTATTGTGTTCACACAGCCGCCCTGAGGCTGTCCGCAGTATGTGCTGATCTTCACTTTTACCGAGTGCTTTTCTCTAGAAAAAGACCAATACAAAGCTTTTTATTCCTTTCTGGGACAATTTTTTTTTAAAGGTCCAGGCACGTCTGCATGAAAACATTACACCCGATGGTCTGCATTGACCTTGTAGCCCCACTAGAGTACACACGACCAGTGTCTCTGGTCCGGCTTGCCTCCGCAGGGGAGTGTCTTCCACTGGTGTGTTTCTGTTTGCAGGCCTCAATGGATACCTCTTTGGAAACTTCCCTGAACCTGATATGTGTGTTGGTGAATCCGTGTCCTGGCACCTCTTTGGAATGGGGAATGAGATAGACATCCACTCCATCTATTTTTACGGTAACACCTTCATTAGCAGAGGACATCGGACTGATGTCGTCAACCTGTTCCCGGCCACGTTCCTCACAACAGAAATGATAGTCAAGAATCCCGGGAAGTGGATGATAACCTGCCAGGTCAGCGACCACCTACAAGGTGAGATGGACAAAGACCAGAGTGGAGATGCTCACAACTATACAATTAAACCACTCTGTCACAGGTGCTCATCCAGTGCCTGATGTTAGGAGATTCTTGTATGTATTATATTTAATTAACAAATGTATAGGAAAACGCAATGTTCGTTTATTTGATGTCCTGTCAACAGATATTTATTAATCACCTTTGTATGAACAGGTAGGAGGTAATCTAAAAAATGATGAGATCTTCAAGAAATCTATCTAGTAATTAGACATAGTTAGACGTTTACAAAATGAGTAAAATTTGAGGCAGAATGAAATAAATGCTCTTTAGTGCTATAGTCACTACTCTGGAGCAGTCAGAGGGGCTTGCTGAGGAGCTGGCTCCTAACCTGAGCCTGGAAACATGAGTCGGAACTGAGCAGATGAGGAAGGGTAGAGGCTTTCCAAGTAGAGAACACAACACGAACTGGGAAAAACACATGTTCTCTTTGAACAATTGTAAATACAATAATGAATGTTTAGCATTGGAAAGGGCTTTCTAGATGATAAGGACCAATCCCCCATCCAATTCTTGAATTTCCTTTTGAACATCTCTTTTAAGTAATTGTAGCAGCTCATCTCATCTCTAGACTGCTCTATTGGAATGTTTTTCCTTGTATTGAGACAAAATCCATTGACCTATAGCTTTCTTCATGGCCCAGGACAGGTGCATGATAAACATTTGCTGGGTTAAATGCCTGCTGAAGGACTTGGTCCTGGTTCCTCGGGACCCCCGAGAATATGTCCTTTTGCAGCCAGACCATGAGGTCCAGCACAGTGATGAGAGAGAAGCGTGGGGAGGGGCTTTGAGTGGCGACGTGCAGCAGGTGTGGCCACGTCTGGGAAGGTGATTGTCATCCTCAGACTCTTAGGCACACTCGTGACATAATCAGTATGGTGATTTGGGAAGATAAATATATGTGTGCAGAAAGGATTTGATGGGGTAAAATGTGATATATGTATACCATGGAGTACTATTCAGCTTTAAGAAACAGTGGTGATATAGCACCTCCTGTATACTCCTGGATAGAGCTGGAACGCATTCTACTAAGTGAAGTATCCCAAGAATGGAAAAACAAGCACCACATGTACTCACCATCAAACTGGTATTAGCTGATCAACACATAAGTGCACATATAAGAATAACATCTATTGGATGTCAGGCGGGGGGAGGGGGAAGGGGAGGGGGAGGGGGAGGAGGGGACGGGTATATGCATACACAAAGAGTGCAATGCGCACCATCTGAGAGAAGGACACGCTTGAAACTTGGACTTGGGGGGAAGGGGGGGGAAGGGCAACATATGTAACCTAAACATCTATACCCCTATAATATGCTGAAATAAAAAAAAATATGCTGTTAGAAACACCATGTCTAGAAATTGAAAAAAAAAAGAAAGTATTTGATGGGGAAATTTGGGCCACTGGATGCTAGTTAAGAAGCACTGGCAACATTAGAGTTATGACATATAAAGGGTCTGACCTAAGATGCCGAAAACAAGAACAGAAACAAAAAGTGACAATGGGATAGACACAGCGGAAATAATGTGTGATTAAATTTGGATACTGACTTACACACCGTCACTAACAGGAACAGAGATCCACCTGCTCAGGGCTGCTTTGATAACACATTCTTTTCCCATCCGCCTTAAGCAGCTCATCTTAACATTAGTCAGCCAGATTATCCCAATTAAGTTCAGCTCAAGAGTTGATTAGTTAATACGTACTAGACACTCCTCTGGGAAGGCAAAGATGAATAATACAAGCTTCCTATTCTCAAAGGATCTCATGCTGTTAAATCCGGGAAAACTGTAGATTTAAAATCAAAACATCAGCAGCCATTTGAGACTAGCAAGACTGCTAAGTTGGCCAGTAGTTGTGGACATAGCTGGTGCTTATACAGTCACTGAAATACAGTATTTCCTAAGTTGCCCACCCTCAGAAAATTTTATTGTAAAAAATTAGAAAATACATATAATTTGATTTTAAAAACCAGTAGTCCCACATAGAGATAGCAGCACCACATTTTCATGAATATCTTCCTATTTTGTATACCTTAATATATAAATATGTGATATTTGTAAAATGAAATTAGTCTATTAATGCTGTTCTGTAGCTTACTTTTCTCATCGATTAGTATATCAGAAGTATATTTCCATGTTAGTGAATATAGAGTTACTTCGTTATTGTTAATGTTCCCAGTGTCCAGTATAAGGAGATCACAATTTACTTAACCAACACTCTATTGCTTAACACTTGCATTTTCCTCCATTTGTTTTGTCTTATAAAGAGTACTGATGATCATCAATTTACAGATATAGTTGCACTTTTGTCTGAACATTTGCTTGGAAAAACTACTGGATTTGGAATTCCTGGGTCAAAAAGTTTGATTTTTTTTTTTTAAAGCTATGGAAATACATTGCCAAATTCTCTTTTAGCAACTGCTGTTCTTCCACCTGCAGTGTGTGATCATACTCCTCTCTCCTCTACCAGCATTGAGAATTATTAGTCTTTCTAATCTTTACCAATCCTATAAATGAACAACACTGTCATTTGAGTATTATTAAGGTTGAACTTCCATTTTCATTTGTTCATTGGCCAATATTATTTCCTTTCTGAATAATCTATTTCTGTCCCCTGCGCATTTTTTTCTTTCCTAATTTGTAAAAGTGATTTACATATTAATCTTCTGTCATATTTGCTACAAATATCCCTCACCCCACCATTTATCCTTTGTTTTTAACTTGGTTTATGGTCTCATTTCCTGTGCAAAAGTTTTAAATATTCACAAAGTCAAGTCTATCAGTCCTTTTCTGTATGATTTATTTCATGAGCATTTATACATTGGCTGTGGTTTTCCTCTATTCTGCAGCTGGTATGCTGGGGCAGTACAATGTTGGTAACTGCAAAAGTGATATTTTTCACCCCAAGATGAAGGGTCAACAAAGGCGCTACTTTATAGCAGCTGAAAAAGTTCTTTGGGATTATGGTCCTCAAGGCTATGACAAATTCAGCGGTCTTCCCCTCAATGCCTCTGGCAGGTAAGCACTCTTTGCTGGTGTTTCTAAGCCTCTCTTCAGAGAGGCATGTGTTAGGCTTTCCCTGCGATTGCATTTGTATTCCAGGCACTGCTCTGATGAGCACATACTCATAGATGGCATAATGTCGCTGCATAGAGAGTTCTTTTTTTTTTTTCAAGTATCACAATGTTTATTGATAGATACAAGTATATAAAATCAGGGCATGAACATGACTTGATAAATTAGGTAGACTTAATTTCAATACTATAATAAGAGGGACCAATTCAAATTCTCACCATTTGTTTCACACCCACAAAAACCACTTCAAGGGCATTAACGATCTCTCAAAACTGATCAGTTTTGTGCAAGTAAACCATGTTTCTTTTTTAAAAAGACTTGTGCACTTGCCCAGGCTCAAGGATATTAAAATCTAGCACATAAAGCCCATTACTAGAGGTAGAAATACAGGCAATATACTATTAGGGCAACAACCATCAATTACAGTTAAGAATTTTTCTGTAACAACCAAATATTGCAACAACTCAAGTATTACTGAGCAAAGTGCATTTCTACAGTATTCAGTGTTGCTATTCAGTTTTCTAACTTAAAACAGCCTATGATAACTGGCAGCAAAGAAGGTCCTTGCAATAGACTGCCTCTGCTTGAGAACTTATGATGTAATTATTGCATGCTGCTAATATACTATCTAAACATTAAAGATACTCCTAAAATATTTGATGGTAGACTATGATTAAGACATTACACTACAAAAAAACCTTATGCAGAAGGAAATCCTAACTGACGTGCTTCTGCTTTAAATATCGTGAAAACATTACAGCGGAATGAATTTTCGCAGTGGTTAGGTCAAATGCAGTTACATCATAGCAACAGTATGTTTTGCAGAAATTTAAGGCTTTGGCTGGTTCTTTAGTCAGCTTCTTCCTCTGATTCTTCTTCTTCAGCAGTTTCTAGCCAGGTTAGCCACTGATTCACCTGGAACAAAGCCTTGCCTTTCCCTGGAAACTCTTGGGTTATATCTTCTTTCCAAGCCAAGAAAGCTTCTTCTTCAATAATTTCCATGTCATAGAAGTGCTCAAAAAAGCGGAGTAACATGCCTTGGGAAGTTGCTGTTGTAGCAGTGCACCTGAAGAGCATACAGGGCACTGACTTGTAGATCAACATGATCATGAAGAAAGCTCTGCGTTACTGGCTTGAAAGAAAAAAGCAGTTGTTTTTCCTGTTCTAACTGTTCTTTGGAAGGAGCAGAGGAAGAATCTGTTTGATTGCTGGTTGGGTTTACTTCGCTAGAAATATACTGTAAGGAGCTAGTCGCTAAGATGTTCACAAATCCTTTATCTACATGAAGTTTGGGAGAGAAGTTATCTTTAATCCATTTATATATGGTTTGAGGGGATGTATCCAACTTTATTTGCTTCAACAGTTCCTTCTCCAGTTTGAGGAGTGGGAATAAGAAACTCAGTCCCTTTCCTTCCAAAATCTCCAACATGCGGTCCTTATTCTGATCAATCTCTGGGAGCATTTTCTGCATATTGACCTTGCTTTGTTGAAAAAGTTCTGTTAACCATTCTCGATTTTGTAATTTAGCCAACTGCTGAAGACAGAGTAAGAAGAGAGGAAAATGGGGGCCATTTTCCAGTGGTTGAGCTAGTTCTGAAATGCTCACCAGTTCTGAAATGATGGCATGAGCTGCAAACTGTGCTAAATATGATTTCACCAAGGGGATGTCAACCTCCAGTTTGGGACACTGGTCCAATACATTCAGGAAAGCCTGCATGAAGTTGTCGCTTGTGGCTATCCCTTCCTGTTTGAGTAAACTGATCAAAGAGCTTGCTTTTTCTTTATCTTCATCACTTCTATCTAGTGACAAGATGATTACTTTGCTTAACATCTCAGGTAGGAAGTGTTTAGGAGCCCTCATTTCTCTTACACCATTGACAGCCTTATTTGCATTTCCACTATTCAGATACTCAGTCATGACAGTTTCAGTGAGTTTAAGTAGTTCTTCCTTTGATGGTGGTGGTTTTTTGCTGGTCTTGGCAGGCTTTTCCTGGATAAGTGGTGGATTAGTTTTGAGACCAAGCTGAGGTGTCTGTCCCAGTGGTGGTGTTTGAGTGCGTGGTGGTTGCGCACTAGGAGGAATCATAGTTATCTGGGGCTAAAGCTTTGGCACTTGATTTTTATTCATTAGGAATGCCTGAGCAGGCCTCAGACTAATCTCGTCTGCATTAAGCTGTCCTTTCTTAGAAAACCGAGGTGGCATAGAGAGTTCTTAATACTGTAAAAGTACTGCTGAGAACTGGCGGAGTATTTATTCTTTTCTGACTTGTTGGCTAAATCAAACCACTAGATCCATTCATTCATTCATCCAACATTTCTTAAGTACCTACTGTGTGCAAACCACAGTGCTAAATGCCATGAGAAGTACTAAGCTGGTAGAGAATAGAAAAAAAGCCTTTGCATATACGGAGCAGACAGTCTTGAAGAGGGAATAAGACAAGACATTATTTCAGTGGAGATGAGCTGGCCAAGGAGGTTACCTTTTTGGTTCAAGGGAAGCCTTGGATAAGTTATGCCCCGACTATGCCCTATAAAATGTTCTTTTCCTCCCTGTTCAGTAAAATGCCATTTTTCTTTCAAAGCCTAACCCTAATGTCTAGGCTCGCATAGCATATAGTAATTTTTTTTAATTGAATCTAGCAATTCATTAAATGTATGTGGACTCTGTGATTTGTTATAGAATCATATACAATGACTCTGTAAAAGCATTAAAAAATGTACAGTGTGATATCAAGAATGCTTTATCCTATAATCCTTTTTTATATTTGAGGGAATGTTTTAAAAATTCCCTTTGTAATCAATCATAACACATCATTTGTTTTTTTAGTTGTACATTTCACTTATTTGTTCATTCATTCATTCATACATACATTCATTCATTCTTTCACCAAATTGATGTACTTGAACCTTGCTTAAAGGATTTGTTTGAACCACATATGGAAAACTCTTTGATATAAACATTCTCTACTGACCAGTATTTCTCCGTGAACAGAATAATGAGAATTAACATTTAAAATTATGTCTTAGAGGCCTTCTAGAATTCTGAAGTACCTTCTGAAATATGAAAGATTAAACTATGTTCATTTGATATTTAATGTGATATATGCAAGCACAACCAACGTACAAGGTGACATGAGGGATACAAGGATATCTAAGACAATGTTCCCACCTTCAGGTGGAGTAAGTAGCTGGGTGCACAGGAAAAGAAAAATAACTTTGCAAGTTACAAATATGAGTAAGATGAATCATTCAGTGGGCATTCAGAGAGAGCTAAGATAGCCAGGGAACACTTCACAGAGGAAGTAGGACTTAAGCACAATTTTGAAGAGTGATAGAATTTATACAAGTGAATAGTGAAGAGAGAAATTTTAGATGCAGGGATTATTGCAAAGCACCCACTAGATAGGGGAGCATGAATAGGTCAGAATGACTGGAGTAGAAGATTTGCATAGAGGAATGGGCATTTGCATAGATAAATAGGGAGGGATTGGGGTAAAGTAAACTGAATATCAACGGCAGAGGTCCTTTAATTCTTTTGAACTTTATTTGATTGGGAACTGGAAGCAATTGAAGATTTTGGAGCAAGTAAATGACAATGAAAACGATCATTTTAGAGATTAATGTTGTAGCAGTGTGTATGTTAAGAAAAAAATGCACGAGCCAGTGTGAGATGGAAGACGCAGAGTGTGCAGTTAGGAGAGTCATACAATGGTCCAAACCCAAGCTCTTAGGGCATGAACTGGGGTTGTGTCAGTGAAAAGAAAGGAAAAGAAAAAAGGCACAAAGAACATAGAAAAGGAAGTGTGCAAAAAATTTACAAAGTAAGGATGAATTAGACAAGGGGATGAGGCAGAAAAAGAAGACAAAACCAGTCTACATGACTGCAAGAGTGGTGGTACCATGGATGAAAATTACATAGTATAAAGACAGTATTAGTCAGAATTTATATTGTTATCTTCTCAACTTGGACATTTGGTATTTCATGTATATAGTTTATATGATAACGCTCCACTGATTAAACTATTTGATTAACTAGACACTCCATTCCTTAACCATGCCAGATATCAAAGAGCTTACTAGATGCAGACACTATTCATTTTGACATCAGCAAGAGAGAGAGAGGGATGCTTATTCTGCAAAGAAACCAGCTAGCTCTTTGTTACTTTGTAGGACACCATTCTGGGACTCCAGTATTGGTAAGTTCTCCTGTGCCTTCATTTGCTGCTGGACCTCGGGGGAAGAAAGTACAATGGCTAAGAGAGAAATGAGCTTAAGCATCATCTAGCTTCTGAAGACTATTGAGGCTGGTTGACTATTTCTTGGAACTTTGATGAAGCCTGTGCTGTCTTTTCTTGGGAGATGGGTGGGTGAGTGGGCTAACGACAATAAAATGAAGCTTCATAATTAAGGCGTTTGGTAGATATGTTGAAATGTGTTCTCAGGCAGATTGCTGTGTCTTTTCACAGTGATTCTGAGCCTTACTTCACACGAGGGGACAACAGAATAGGAGGAAAATACTGGAAGGCTCGGTACACTGAGTTTGTTGATGCAACTTTTACCCAAAGAAAGAGACTCTCTACTGCAGAAGCCCATCTTGGAATTCTTGGTACAGTAAAACCATCCCTCACGTTTTGAACCCTGGGAGGTGTTAGCTGGGCATATACATCTACACACACATCTACACAGAATGACTCTTCTCCTGCTCCAACTCACTTCTTTCTGTCTCTTTTCATTGTTCTCTATCCTCCTCTTGCTATTTTTCAGGCCCAGTCATCAAGGCAGAGGTGGGGGATACCCTGTTAGTGACCTTTGCCAACAAAGCTGATAAGGTGTACAGCATTTTGCCCCATGGTGTGATCTATGACAAAGCGTCTGATGCAGCCCCAAACATAGATGGTAAGTCTCAGCCTGGGCTTGGGGAGGAAACAGGATGAGGGAGCAAAGTTCTTAGAACTAGACAGACCTGGTTCAAATCCTGGTCTTTTCCGTTACCAGCCTGGAGAGCTTGGCAATTATTTAAACTTTCTGAACCATATTCTGTTCACCAGTCAAATGAAGATGATAACACCTCACAGCACTTTGGAAAGGGATGGAGAGAATTTAGGACAGGATCTGGCCCACAGTAGGTTCTTAGGGAACGTTAATTTCTTTCCTTTTCCTTCAGCAATGCAGTAAATCTCAAAGTGAGCAACTTTCACAATCACTTCCTCTTCTCAAAGATGGACAGCTTTTCTGCTGTAGGTTGCATGGGAGTCTGCGGGTAAAGGCAAGGGAGAAAATTTGATTTCCAATGTTTCATTGACATCAAAACCTTACACATGGTCTCTGTATCTATCAACAAATATTTATTTAAAACCAGCATTATGTGCTTACCATCATATGTGGCCTCTCCCCATCACAGAGGACACAGTGCAGGCTTGCTTTGTGGAAGGCAGCTATTGCCCTGTGGCTGCAGGAACTATCCTTCCATTCATGATACTGCTCTTGGGAAATTCCTGGTTCCTTAGTACCTGTCCCCCTCACCGTAACAGACATCATGGTCCCCTGGGATACGTCACACTTGCATGTGAGGCCATGCCCAGTGGAGAATAGGCTTTGTGGTGACGGTGAGGGCACAGAGGAGGAAGGAATGGTGGGAGAGTTCCCTCTCCCCACACCCATCCTCACCTCCTGCTGCAGCCACAGTTCCTATACCTGTGCTCTCTTCCTTGGTCAAAATACTCGGAGAGACTCTGTATGTATGTATGTGTGTGCATGTGTGTGTATGTGTGTGCACGCATGTGGGTGTGCAGAGAGAAAAACTAGAGGCAGACAAAATGTTTATATTTTCTTTTTTTTAACTAAGCAAACATGTTGGGCACCTTTTTGAAAAGCACTAGACAAGATGCACAGTGAGTCTCTGGCCTTGTCTAGTAGGAGAGATTCAGTGTGTTTTTCGGCAATAACAATGTGAAGATTAAGTGTACAGTCTTTGTAATCAGACAAAACTGAGTTTGATTTGCCTTTTATCAGCTTTATAATCTTGGGCATTCACTAATCTCTTCTACCTTGTAGTTATGTAAGTTATTTCCTAGTTCAATCTTCTAGATTTCAAACTCGTTAAAGATAGATCTCTTGCTTAACCTTTTTCGGTATCATCTGCAGGACCAAATAAAATGTATTCTACATAGAAGGCACTCCAGTGATATTTCATGGATTTTCATTGAATTGTTGAATGAGCCGCTATCATTCTTAATATTTGCTAAGCATGGTATTTGAGCAAAAAATAGTATGCAATCTATGAAGAAGATAATCCTTTAAGTACCTATCTCATAAAACATCAGGCTGTGGCAGTGGCTTCCTCTGGTGGGATACATAAGAGGAAGCAACTGTCTTTGTGCAAAAGTCATCATCATCAGAGAGAGGGAAGACCCAGTGTGACAAGTTTAATGTTCTTGGCTGTTGCTTTGAGTAACTGTTTCATTTATATCCTCAGGATTTCTGAAACCGGGGGCGCATGTTAAACCAGGTGAAACCTTCACATACAGGTGGACAGTGCCTGAAAGTGTAAGCCCTACAGCTGACGACCCTCCCTGTCTGACATATCTTTACTTCTCAGCAGTTGACCCAATCAAGGACACAAACTCTGGCCTTGTAGGGCCTTTGCTAGTCTGTAAAAGGGGCGTTCTCAATGCTGATGGGACACAGGTAGGCCATCAGATGTCACCAGTTCTTCTCAGGGTTATATGTGGGAGAGAGCCACAATATGGCTAGAGATAGAGTCAGCTACAGAGAGTGATTTCTCCTGCTTCCTCTTGACATTGACTTCTACATAATGGGAATTTTATTTTAATTTTTTGGGCAAAAATTTAAGATCTGAATTTCCAATTATAAATGCCCATCCTGGAACGTAGGATTTCTGCTTGTTGTGGTTGGAATTTGGTGGGTTTTTCCTGGTGTTGCTTTGATTTTGAAATCGTCAGAAACCCACATGGAATGCTAACTGGAATTATTCTTCTCAGTCAAGGTTTCTCAAACTTGGCCACCATCAGAATCACCTGGGGCCCTTATAAACATCCTTTATTTAGGTGCTCCAGACCCATCAGTCAGAACCTCCAGGTGATTCCAATATATAGCCAAGGCTGAGAACTGCTGTGACTCATTATGGTAAACTGGAGGTTAAGCACTACTATGGCTGAAGGAATGAGAATATGTGTAGATAATTTCTTTCAAGTCCCAACTTAGAGGCTTGAATGGGTGCACTGATTAGAGTGGCAAAGCCTAGCATTTCAAGCTGTGTCTGCATGGTATTAAACACATCGATGAAAAGAGGAAAATCCAGTTTGCTTCAGCAATTAGAAATTGCAAGGCAATTTATTAAATGATATATTTTATAATTTTTGGTATTGTATGGGCCCACTTCTGGGCTCAAAAGAATTTCCAGGCTTAGAGGACAAAAAATACCTTGGTCCACTTCTGATTTTCATTTCTCTACGCGAAGGACCAATCCTGGAAATGTCTATTACATGTATTATAAGTCTGAATATTTACAGTGTACCTCAACAATCATATAAGGCAAAGTAGAATGATTATCCATATTTTAAAGCTGGAGAAACTGAGGCTCAGAGACATTGAGTGAAATCCCAGGAAATAAACCAAGTAAGAAAACTCAGGAGTAAAGCTTAGGACTTTGAGCATCCAACTTTGTCCTTTTTCCGATATACTAACTTGCTTCCTACTGAGCAGGGACTGATTTCCTTGGAGGAAGTCACATGGATGGGGGGAAGGATATAATGAGAAAGACGAATGTTCTGGGTATGGAACAAATTCGTCAGAGTAACGTTCTGAATCCTGATTTACAAAATAACCTGGCGCGTGCACGGCTGATGTTGGTAGCCCTAACCCACTTTGTGTCAAGCTGGACAGCAAAGCAGTGCTATGAACTCCTCCAAGATGCACTTTTTAAGTATTCATTTCTTTCTTCTCTGTAGAAAGGAATAGACAAGGAGTTTTACCTACTGTTCACAGTCTTTGATGAGAATCTGAGCAGGTATTTTGATGAAAACATTCAGAAGCTTACCTGGCGTCCCTTCAGTGTTGACAAAGAAGATAAAGAGTTTGTGAAATCCAACCGAATGCACGGTATGACAAACGACTTTCCCTCCTGTGAATGGACAGCTCATTGCACTTGAAGTGAAAATGTTTGGAATGTTTTAATTATCTTAATTTTGGTTTCTTGGGTATTGTTATTGGTCACAAGTAAGTTATCTCATGCCTTCGTCTTCACACGGTGTGGTGACCCTTCACTATCCCCCAGAGATGTTGTGAAACTTAAAGCTTCTAAAATGTTTTATCACCCTTAGATGAAGCAACACAAAATTAAAACTAGCAAAGATCACAGTTCATCATAAATGTAGAAAATTACTGACAAAACGCCCTCTGTTGGGTTCACAATAACATCATTAAGTCTGAAAACCAAAGTGATAACAGGAGATCATCATTATACAGCAAATATCTCTAATTAAGCCATACAAGTGACTGCTGAAAGTGTTAATTTGTAAAACACTACTGCTCCTATCCCAGATCTTCATTTGGGAGGAATTATTTAATTGTCCCTCCCTGTCTCTTTTTATGTCAAGTGTTACAATAGCAAACCACATGCTAATTGGTTGTGACTAACACAGGATGCTCATTAGTCTTGGGCATATTACCTAAGGTGGTGGAGTAATGAGCAACAGTTCAAACTCAATGCCTACAAGAGTGCATGGTCAGCAAAAGTGCCTAAATCAAGTATTATTAAGATAACGGATGCTAATCTGTTTGTTTTAAGATCCAGCATAACATCTATTTATTGCCTTTAAAAACATGAAAGAATAACAAAATAGCTCCTAGCCTCCTTCCCTGCCATGGAAGTCCAAAAAAGTCCACAGTTACAAGTGACACACAGTAACAAGGTCACAGACCCCATGGTCCCAGACGCGAATTTCCAACAGAGTCCCTCTTGGACCAATGGAAAGAATGGAGTAGTGCATTTGCAGTATCATCTTCTATAAAAAGAAAAGTTTTGCTATTAACTAAATATGAAATTTGTTTATGAACTTCTTAGTACACAATAAAAAAGGGCAACTACACTAGAAATGAGGAAACATAGCGGTTCCTTAGAGGAGAAGCTAAATTATAAAAGAAATTTATCATCAGAGAGGACTTTATTTAGAAAATATTAAACAACTGATTTAACCATGTCAAATCCAGTCCCAACTTGGTTTGGCAATGAGAAACTCATTTTCACATCTTAGAAAGGCAGGATGTGTTGTTTATAAAGCAAAGTTCAAGGAAAATAATGTATCTTAATTAAATTTCACGTTAATTATAAATTAAGTTCTGTCTTGCTTGCGTGGAATGGGAAGAAAAAAAGCAACAAAGCCAAAGAGAAAGGGCCTCATATGCTACAAAAATGCTTTGTGTTGTGTCTATTACATAGGCTGTGTGCCAAAGATGTTTGTTGAATGACTGAATGGATGAGGGAGTGAATGATCCACCAAGAGAGGCTTTAAACAAGAGTTCCAAGGCAAGAGAAGATTCTCTATCAGCCAGCCAAGGGCTAAATTTATTAGCATCCTGATTTACACTCATACCTTTTAAACATTCAATCAACAAGATTGAGACTATTTATGTGCCAAAGCATTATCAAAGATTTTTTTTCTAGAAAATGTGGTGTTCTCAGAAGTCCCAGGCCTTCTTGAAATTTCTAACACTAATCCCAGATTTGAGTACAATTACCAAGCAACACTGGTTCCGCAGACACTGATATAAAAAGTAATTTTGTTTGATAAGGGGATTATGACAGCAGGTCATTTATGTGTACAGCAGTTGTTCCTCCCTACTATGGGCACTAGCAGAGGAGTACCAGAGGGATAGAATGTTTATGTCTCTAAGGGACATCAAGCTGAGGCATAATTATGTGCACTCACCTGTCAGACATTGTTATGCAATCACCGCATTCCTCCCTACAGGGTGGGAATGTGGTTTCTAAACTCTTTTCAAGGCACTGCTTCAGATAGCCACTTATCAATGGATTCAGGTTGATGTAAAAGATGAAAACAATTTGCCACTCTGGAAGCACAGAAGGTCTTCATATCTAATTGATCATTATCAAAGTCCCTGCAGTTATTTTATTGGGGTAGGAAGTAGAAGTTATCATAAAGCAAATGTATTTACTCAAGGTCTAACCTCTTATAAACTTAGTGCTCCCGCCCTTCCCAAAAACCCCTCTCTACTGACCAGACATGCAAATACAGTGTCAATTGATTGAAAGTCTTTTGAATGATTCAGAATCCATGAAATCAGTAAAAGAATGTTTGCTAACTTCTAGAATCAAATGCAAAGGCACTGGCAAGAGGGTCTGACAGAATTAAATGAATTAAAAACTGAGGAAGAGACATTTAACACAGGAGATGATAGGATAAAAAGACAATGATTTTCATATCAAGAGTTTTAGAAAAGAATATAAGGAAATTGGTGAAGTCAATAAAATTTTTTACAAGAATGATACTCTTTATAATCTGCAAAAATAAAATGTAAAATGAAGGATATCATATCATGCCATGAAACAATTTTGTCAGAAAGTTATGGGAGAAAACAACCTGATTTATTTCTTATTGATTCTTAGAATTAGTGTCCTTGCATATGTGTTATTAAATATAACATTTGAATAATTTTGGTATATTTTCATTATTCATTGTTAACTTTGGTCTCCATTTTAAGTTCATTTACCATGTGGCTTTTCCCTAGTACTATTTATTCTCTGATAACAAGGATCTTCTATCAATAGTTTACATACTTGAACACCCCCCATCCCCCACTAATTTTTTTCACTAAGATGGTATGTTTTCAGTATATCTGCATAATTATAGTGGGCTCTGACTATCTTTTTCCTTCCATTTAGCTGTTAATGGCTACATGTATGGCAACCAGCCAGGTCTAAGCATGTGCAAAAAGGACAGAGTTTCCTGGCATATGATTGGATTGGGCACTGACACCGACATGCATGGAATTTCTTTTCAAGGGAACACCATCCACCTCCGAGGAACTCACCGAGACTCCCTGACCCTGTTTCCCCACATGGCCACAACAGCATTCATGCAGCCAGACCGTGCAGGTAAACTTGGTGGGTCCATCTGTATCTTGAGGTCCCATCCTCTTAGAGTCCTCCCCCAGAAGAAATCAGTAGACTTGGGTTACTTCAGGGGGTGTAATAACAGAGATAGTCTTGATTAGAATCAGAGATTCCTCAGTATATTAGTCCAAACACATAGTGTAAAGGACAGAGAAGTATCTAAAATAACATCCACAGAGCAAAAGTAGAAGCCCTCTAAATGACTTTGCTGCACAAACCCTAGGAGAATGCTTTTGATTCATAATCCATAAAAAATTCAGGCCTGACAAACAGGATATGTTTTGCACTCATTGAGCATGAACATCATTACAGTTGCTGCTCTGAAGCATCTACCAGGCATGGACAGCCCAGGGGATGCTGCCAGATTACAGATGCAGCCTACCATAACTGCAGCTGGGTCTCCCTTCTCTAGGGACTAATGGTGGTCTCTTGATGCGTTATTTGGGGACTTCTCCATTTTCATTCTGTTGGGCATTCTTGGTTTCCCCACAGGGCTAGCTGCAATGGGTTTGCAGTCCACGGAAATCCCCATAAAATGCCAGTACCTGGAACGTCTCTTAGAGATTCCAACCTAATTAGATAATTGGGGCATTTTTATAAAAGATATAGAGCAAGATATGGTAGCATGTGCTAACTGCTGCATGAAAAGTGCAGATAGCAAATGCTACGGGCATTGAACATGTTTTTCCATCCTAACTTTTTCATCAGTCTTAAGAAACCAATATGCTACCTAAGATGCGTACCTTCTGTTTATTAAGTGAATGCTCTACTTTGCTTCACACTGAAACTGCAGTTTCAATGCCTCTGTCATCAGTTAAGAACTTGAGGCTTGGGCTTCAAAACCTTTGCCCAAGCACTGCCTGAAAGTAGGAGCTCCATATCTTTGCCTTATAAAACTTGCAAACTTCTAGTGTTCTACCTCTCTACATTAATATAGTTGATCAATTATGAATCACCCAAACCAAAGGATGCCTTGGACAAAATAATTTAAAAAAAAAAAATACATTCTTCAAGGAAAAAGAGGACAGGGAATGGGGAAATAGCAAATCATTTTAATCCATAGAAACAAGCACTCAAAGCTAAAGTTGGCTGGAATAATTTTAGAGATTTGGCTACTCACTCCAGTGTCTTGATCGTTACTCATGTGCTCCAAAGAGCTTCAAAACATTGTTTTCTGATTTATGTTTGGTGATGAGCATAAATTTGTGACTGCTTAAAAGCTTGATCATTTCACTAATACCTGTCCCTTACCTATAAGCTAAGAAGGGTGCTCAAAAGTGGGTAGAATAGACCGTAGGCTGCAACTCAAACATTTCCTCTTTATTCTTAAAGAAGATAATTCCTAGACTATCGAAGGGCCATGATCAACACATAAATAATAGGCTGCCTGGAAAAAACCAAATGCAGAGGGTGGTCTTTCCAAGTCTGTCTTCAGAGGGTCTTCTCTGGGGTTTCACAAAGACCCTTCCTTACAGTAGTCCTCCTTCCTTAGTGCCTGGAGGTGCTTGGGGACCTATTAAATAAATGGTTTTTGCTCATCTAGAAGGAGTAATTTGCAATATTTAGACAACAGACTTACACGTATAGCAAGATAGAAGCTATCTCTGTGCATTGCAGGTGGTTAATGAGTGGCACGCTAATCACTCACCTCTAGAGGAAGGGAAGATTTATTGATTCAATACTTTCATTGACAGTTAACATCTTCAATAATTTTATTTGTTTTATATGATTTTATGGTGAGTTCAATTAGGAAATATCTACCTGATGCCAACTCATCTAGAAAATTTAGTTTAAAAAATTACATAATTTTCAGTTGACATGATTGCTGGTATTATATGGAAAAATCTAGTTGATTATTTTTCTTTTTTCATTTTCCTTTTCATCTGGCATAATATAGACCTACTGTTGGAAATGAGAAACTCCTTTACTCAGAGGCTTAATGAAATAATATCTTTGGCTTTACTAATAATACTACTTTACGTACTTATTACACTTTATAATTTATGAAATCCTTTAGGGCAAAATACATGACTTCAGAAATGTGGCCTAATTTGCATTTTGTTTAGGATAATCATCCTACAGGTAATTAGTTCTTTTTAAACTGGGCTGGGCTAAGACAGTCACACCTATTGGTGATTTTCCAGGAGACACTGTTTTCTAATAGATGTGTATTATGGGAAGACCCGGAGAAGTCATTTCTTGATAGCAGCATTTTAAGTTTTATTTTTCTATTACAAGTGAATTTTAAATGGTAACTTCCCCTCCGCCCCCGAAGTAAATATATTCAAACTAATTTATTCCCCTTGGGGTCTGATTTTAAATTACTATCAAATTGATATTTTAAAAATCCACCTTATTGGTTATTTATTTTGGAATAAAATATGTAGGTCTGCTAAAAACAGACCAATAACAACAAAAACATCGAGCACCGCACACAATGCCAAGCCATTTCTCTTTCAGGTATTTTCAGGGTGTTTTGTGCCACCTTGTACCACCTCTTGCGAGGCATGGGTCAGATATATGAGGTCAACGGCTGTGGCAACAAGGACCCTTCTGAGCAGCCGTACGGGATGATAAGAACGTTTTACATCGCCGCTGAAGAGGTAGAATGGGATTATGCCCCTAACAAAAACTGGGAGTTCGAAAAGCTGCCCTTGGACGCAAGAGGGGAAAGGTACCGCAGGCGCCGCCGCCAAGTCTCTTCGGTGGGATTGAGCACGATCCGTAGGCGTTTAGCCAATGCCCTGGTTTTGTCCGTACAGTCCCTGCAGACAGAGACTTTTATCCCGCGCACAGAAGGTTAGGGAAGCCGGCCAGCTCCAGCCCTGGAAGGCTCCGCGCACCTCCTGGCGGCGGCTGGTTCTGTGCGGCTGTGGGGCGGACGCATGCGCCCCTGCGTGAGCGCATTGCAAGGTTTAGGGAAAGGCAGATCCCACCGCGATAGTGGGACTGGGAAGACAACGGGGGCCCGAGGAGGCAGAGATGGAGTACAGTTACAGATCCGGGGTGAGAGGATGGGCTGCTGAGGGTTGAGGACCCGGGGAAGGGGAATTGAGGCTGAGCCATTGGCAGAGCGCTGATCTAGGTGGGGACAAGCGAGGAGGGGTCGGAGCCTGCGGAGAGATCCCGGATTGGGATAGGAAGAACAAGTCTCTCTACTAGACCCTGTACCCAGAACGTCCGCAAGATTGACCCTCCCTCGAAAGTGCTGTGGCCAGTGCTGCATGCCAAAGAATCCGCAATGCTCAAACCACCAGCAGGCTTGTGAGCGTTGGTCCTCTGCTGCCCTAAGCGGGCCAGTCCAGTGACCACGCTTCCCAGGGTGCCCTGGGATACAGTTAAACAAGGGAGGCGTCAGGTGCAGACTGCAGACCTCCGCCCCCAAGGTTAATACCCTGGGCTTGGCAACAACCCTCTGCCTGGGTCTTATCTTACTGTCCTGATAAGCAGGTGAGGAAACCTGGTTGCCAAGACTAGTCATTGGCAGAGTTGGAACTGAACATAGATCTTTTGAATGACAAATCCGTGTTCTCTCGCACACAAGGTTGCCCTTCATTGCCACCTACCCAAAACCCTTCCCACCGCACTCCCCTCCCCACACCTCATACGAATCCTCCAGGGCTGTGACATACACACACAACTCTGCATGCTACTGTTCCTAATCTTACCACATTTGTTTCTTACCTATTGTCCTTTTTTTTTTAATGGGGGTGGGGGTGCAATCCATACTCCTGGAACAGGGACTATAACAGTGCCACCTTCTGGATAAATGAAAACACAAACAAAAAACCCCAAATGACTCCTCACTTTTTTGCCTCAAGGACAGGAGGATTTAAAATCCATTCAATTATTCACTCACCTATTTGTTAAACCAGACATCTTTCTTCTGCAAAACTACTGCTGCCAGCTAAAGATTGATGCTGGTGCAGCAGAACATGAAATGAATTCTAATTTGGCCTTTTCTAAAATGATTATTTCATTAAAAGGCTGCCATAACCAAAGAAATAATTGTATAATAATTTTGTCATGCATACCATTTTGGCCCGTGGGTGTATGAAAAATATAGTCTTCATTATTTTTTTACGAATTTAACTCCTTTTAAGCCTCCATCCCTCTGGGCTAGCAGGGAGGTCTAGCCTCAGTCTTCTGGAACTCTCTCCCAAGTGACATAGAGAGATAGAAGGTGCTGGTGGGGAAGGGGGGTAGAATGCCATAATCACACTCTTCCTATGTCACTCTGGTTATTGCCCAAAAATAGATAAAAGCAAAGTGAGATAAGGACGTGCTCACAGTTCACCAGATGCTATGGATAAAAACTCAATACAGAATTGAAATGATAAGTCCCAGGGCACATTTGTGGCACCTCTGTAAATGGGAGCCCAGGGACAAATGCCTCTTCTGCACCCACTCCAATTTTTATGCTTCTGCCCTTTGCCCCAAGGCCATGGGGGGGCACATCTGGTTTTTGAACCACTTCTTGGTACAGGTTATCCGTGAGACATTTATTGTCCTGGTCAGCACAGACCCTCTGCCCCACCTTGGGACCTGGAAGTCTTTCTTTGGGACTTCCTAAGAACATGCTAGAAGGCCTCAGGATCCTAGAAAGGCAACAAAGAGGACTATCAGTGCAACGCCAGGGGCAGTTTGTGCAGTGAGTGGGAATTTGAAAACAGAAATTAAGTTGGGTTAGAAAAATAAGGTTGTATTCCTAGTGCTCCTGAGCTTGTGTACTGGTACATGTGTAATTTAACCATCCACAGTTACCATCATCTATTGAGCACCCACTATGCACCAGGCATTTTGCTAGGGTATCTGCAAACCTTATCTGACATAATCCTCACGACATACTTGACCCATTCGATCAGCTTTTGCTCAGCACCTCATACACCATCCTCACAAGATGATGATAAAGCAAGTGCTTACCTAGTGCTTAATATGTGCCCGACATAGGGCTTTACAGATATTAACTCATATACTACTCACACCAATCTCATGAGGCAGGTGCATTTTGCAGAGGAGGAAAGCTGGAACACAGCAGAGTGTGGCTCCGGGACTGTGCTGGTCACCACCACACGTGTTTCTAGGGATCCTGGAAACTGAAAATAGAAGAAAAGTTCTCTTCCCTTGGCTAGCATACAGTCTAGGGGGGATGTTATATGTGCATTTATTAAATACCTACTATGTGCTAGGCATTGTGCAAAGTGCTGGTGAAACAGTATGGAGAAGGGTAGATAAGATCCTTTCCCACACAGAATTCCTGGTCCACAGGAAAACTTTAGAATGAGCAAATGGAGTGAGGCAGTCACTATGAGAGGGGAAGGGCAGAGTGCGGCCACAGCTTATGGTGGAAGCACACAGCCACAAGCTTTCCGTGGGGAAAGGTGGGCAGTGGGTCGGTGGTCAGGGAAAGCTTCCGAGAGGAAACAGTCTTTGAGCTGAGACATGATGACTAGGCCAGTTGAAGAGGTAGGAAGCATGCTCTTGGCAGAGGAAACACCTGTATAAAGGCTTGGAGGTGAGGGAGAGCAGTGGCGGGAGATGGAAGGAGGTGATTCTCACTGTGTTTTGGAGATAAAATTGATAGATTGTTTTAATCTATTTTTTGTAATGATCCACCTTGGTGAAAGATTAAATGTGCTATACTTGTATAGTCCATCCTCCTTATTTGTGGATTCTGCTTTTGCAAGTTTGCCTACTTGCTAAAATTTATTTGTAACCCCAAAATCAATTCTTGTGACTCTTTTGTGGTCATTAACAGATACGCATAGGGTGGCAAAAAATGTAAGTTGCCTGATGTACATGTTTCCTGCTGAGGTCAAACCAGGAGTCTCTCTGCCTTCTCATTTTAGCTCTTATACTGTAAACAAGTGTCCTTTTTTGGGTCTATTTAGTGCCACGGTTTTTGCATTTGCGTGCTTCATGTTAGTGCTTACACTGTTTAAAATGACCCCCCAGGCGTAGTGCTGAAGCACTGGCCTAAGTGCAAGAAGGCTGTGACGCGCCTTACGGAGAAAACAGGTGTTAGGGAGGCTTTGTTCAGGCATGAGTTACAGTGCTGTTGGCCGCAGAGTTCAACGTTAATAACTCAGCAATATGTATTAAATAAAGTGTCTTTCAACAGGAACACACATAAAACAAGATTATATATTGATCTGTTGATGAAAATACTGTGGCCAGAGATTTGTGGGAAACTAACCCTGTATTTCCGCTAGGAACAATGGTTCAGTATTCCTTAACTCGGTATTCACGGTGACTTTCTAGAACATAACTACCATGAATAACAAGAATCAACCGATATGTGTATACGGGTATATGCACAATACACAACTGCAGGCCTTCTTGCGATCTTTCAAAGTGGAAAAGCTTAAGAGTGTACAGAATGATACATAGGAAATATGGAGGGACTCAGGGTGGTGGAGGGTGTGTGTGTGTGTGTGCTTGTGTGCAAGTGTACGTGTGTGAGGTTAGTTGGTCCTAAGAAGAGAACTGCAACCTCACAGGGTCCTTAGGAGTCTCTATGGTTGGTCCCACTCAGCAACCAGCAGGGGCTCCCAAGGGTGGGCTATGGACTGGTGCTGGGCAGCCAATAGCAGAACCCAAGGAGCTTTAAAGTGCAGATTCTTGGTCCTACTCTTGAAGTCTGGTGCAAAAGGCCAGCTCTCCAGGGAGCCCCTGATCACAGCCAGATGAGGGGGGCACTTTTCTGGAGTCCCCTTGCATCACTCAGGAGCACTCAAGGTTTTTCTGTCTTCTGACAACTTTAATTTCTGATGCTTCTGACTTGCAGACATGGAGATATATTTATGAACCACACTGAAAATTGGATTGGCTCTCAGTACAAGAAGGTGGTTTACAGGGAATACACCGATGGAGAATTTGTGGAGATCAAAGCCCGGCCACCGCGAGAGGAGCACTTAGAACTCCTGGGTATGGTTCAGCTATCAGCCGTGCGCTGTCAGGCCCTAGCTTGTGCATGTACACACACATACACAGACACATAGACACACATATGTCCTCTTAGATTTGTGCCTGAGAAGGGATGGAAGGAACACAGTAGGCTGACTGCATTTGTCCAAGTGCAGTATCGTCCTGCTCTGCCATTATCAGGGAGCATGCTGTGTGCTCAGTTCATACAAAGAATAGTCCTAATAAGGCTACCAGATAACACACAAAGAGGAGTCCATATCATCAGGGCAGCCTAACCGGTGTCCGATATTCTAAAGCTTCTTTCCAACCCCTCTGCTGAGCCAGGAAATTCTAATTTGAAACAATTTGATGTCTGAGAACCACAGGCAGAGTGCTTGCATAACTTCTTCAAGGTCCTGGATTATCCATGCACAATGCCATAAAAATAATTATGACAAAAGAGGAGGCTTTACGTGAGATGGGGCTGAGGGTGGAGGGTCTGGTTTAAGTTTGAGAGGCCCTGACTCATGGCCTTCTCAGAACCCAAGCTGCGGACCTGGTGATCAGATAAGTACTTCCTGCTTTCCTTCCCCACTTTTGTTCACCTGGGAGTCACTAGACATGACCCCATCTTGGAAGACCTTAAGGCAGAGTGCTAATCTAGAGGACTTTTTGAAATCCTGTTCTGCTTTTCAACATACAAGGTAACTTATATAAACAGTATGGCCATACACAGTGCTTTCCAATATTAGAATAAGACCCCACACCTCCTAGCTTCATAAATGATTGAATACTTCATCCACCCTTCCCACACCTCCATGGTCTATTAATATTCGCATGGGAGCTTGTTTGTCACGCCAAACGAGTAAGTCAGCCCTGATGGAAACATTCATTCACTTGAGCTGTGTATGTTGACAGAACTCATCCCCATTGGTACACGGCCTTGTTGCTGCCAACAAGGTGCTGGTCCTGCTGAGGGGGTTGGGTTGTGCCCCAAGAGCCCTGGTTTGGTTCTACTCAGTAAATGACACAAATGAGTGACTTCATCAGAGCCAAGCCCAGCAGCACTTCAGCCAGAGGGGTGCAGCCTAGAGGCCTGGACTCCTCAAATTACTCAAAGGGCACATGGCAGGCATACTTCCATTCATTACTTGTCCCCGATAGTGACCTATCGCATTGTAAATTGGTAGGCATTTGCTCTTACCTACCAACACAGTAGGGTGTGCGCAATTTAAGTGGTAGTGAGTATACAAATTGTAATATATGCGTATGCCTGCACCTACCTGTAACTATACCCAAATTTGCTGCTTAAGAACATGCATAGGATTTTTTTTCTGGCTTCGTCATAAAAAAAAAAAGAGTACTTTTCAGAACTTCCTAATTCATACTAAATATTTTCTTCTGAAGATATTAACAGTCCAATAAATTTTAGATTTATTTATGCCCTTAGTAGTCTTTCTCAGAAAAGCAAATTAAAACCAGGGCTTGAATCAGTGAAGAATGCATGGGTGTGGCCAGCCCACCACTGCCCGTGAGAGTATCTCCCTGTGAATGTAGAATGCACCAGATACCCAAGAAAGAAGCACAGGGATCAGGTCTGAGGTGCTTCTGAAATGGCAGTCTACTCACCGTGAAGTGATGCCCCATAGCCCACCATGAGTACGACACTCTGACAGTGTCGGGCGCACACGTTCTGAGCACGGCCAGGTGAGCAGCGCCTGGCATGAGGGGAGGCAGCTACAGTCGCGCCGCCACAGGCTCTCTCAAGCGGGGTGTGGGCTCATCTCCCTTGGTACACGGCCTGCTTGCTGCCAACAGAAATGTGCACCTGTGAGGAGCCGAAGACCACATCTCCTCAGGTATAGAAATACTGAGAAACAGCACTGGACATGTGTTAGAGAAATCACTGTATTGATTATAAGTCAATACATGTATGTTTTCATTGCACTCTAATCTTTCAAATCCCTTTTATACACATTATTTCACTGGATCCTCATTACTTTTGTTATATTCATTTATTAGATAATGAGCAATTTCAGACTTACCAAAGCTGACACATAGGGGGATTACAACTGAAAGTCACCATGGCATGTGGATATGGCTTCTCCTGGGGATTATGTCTCAGTAGCAGTAAAAAGTTAAGCGTTTGTTGAGTATTTACTGTGTTTCAGTGTACTGACATAAGCGTTTTACATGCATTATGGTATTTAATCCTTACTATAACCCTATGTGAAAGGTATTATTAAACCCTTATTACAGACAAGGAAATTGAGAGTGAGATAGATTACATGACTTACCCAAGGTTCCTCTAATAAGTTAAGAAGACAGAATTCAAGCTCAGATTCTTCCCATTGCCAAAGACTACATGATATTTAATACTGTACGATATTGCCCTCTAAAGAAAGTACACTAATGAAGAAGCTGACCTTTATTTTATTTTTCGAAATACTACCAACATGTAAATTACATCAATGTTGAAAAGAGCAATGATAATGCACACAGGCCTGTGTTTTGCCTTTAGGCCCAATGATTCATGCCGAGGTGGGTGACTCAGTCCTGATTATATTTAAGAACAAAGCCAGGCGGCCCTACTCCATCTCAGCCCAGGGTGTGGAGGAGATGGACACTGGAAAGCAATTCCAAGTGCCCGTGACGAAGCCAGGTAAGTTACTCCAGAGGTCTGCTCCATCCTTGTGACATCAGATTCAACTCGTTTCTGATCTCTGAGAGGTCTTGAAGAGCTCCTCTTAATGTCACTGTGTTTCAGCCGTATTGTCGTTAGGATGGAGTGACAATTTCTAAACTCTTTACAGACTGCACCAGAAAGTGGAAGTCTCTAGATTGGTTTAAAAAGATGTATTGAAGGAAGAAAGATCTCACAATTAGAAGGGCTTCCAAGAAGACAGTTGAATTGTGGCTATACTAAATGTCAAGATCTGCTGTGACCCACAGTTATGAACTTGATAGCAACCACAGATATAATTACAGGGCAGTTATATTCCATTTTACCTCTTATGTAAAATAACATTATAATATTTAATACTATAGTAATTACAATAAAGGTCATATAAATTTTAAAACATTTAAAGATGCATAAAAAGAAGAAAGAAAAACAATCTAATGCATTGCTAGAAAAAGTTAGCAAGGTACCTGTACAAAGATGAGGTCAGAGGAAAGAAAACCTTCCTTGGCCACTATTTCAACTCTCCCACTATCCCATGCCCAGTGTCAGAAGCCTGTGCTGCTTCAGGAAACCTCTCATGAATAGCCTACATATCCATCTATAGGAAAATATTTAAATAAGTTTTGGAACATCCTTGCAGAAGAATATTATGCAGTCATTAAATGATATTTTAAAAGATTTTAATGACATAGGAAAGACTTACGGTATCATGTTAAGCAAAATACAAGTATAGAAAAAAGGCCGGAAAGGAAATAATAATAATAATAATAATCAATAAATAATAATAGTAATAATCAAAAATATTAATACTAGTTATATCTTGGCAGTGGTATTTTAAATAGCAGTTAGGGTGATATTCTTTTCCATTTCACACTTTTTGTACTTTCTATATTTTCTACAATGGAGGTGTCTTGCATTTATGAAAAAAGGAAATGGTTTTCAATGGGTCAAAACGGCCATTAAATAAAGTGGTTCATTTTTGACAGCTGAAAACCATTTCAGAAGGAAGAAGGAGGGTGGCACTCAGGCACTGGGGGGCTCTGGCAGGGCTGTGGGCAGGCGGGGTGGGCCCCCACAGGCTGCTGTGCCCTGAAGGTGAGGCCTGGAAAGGCACACAGCCCCTCTGCACTGACTGGCCTCCCGAGAGGTCTTGAGGTGAGGGTCCTGGGAGTGGGGAGGAGAATGGACTCGATGTGGCAAAGAAGCATTTTTCTTACTAGAACTCAGAGGAAGAGATTCTTCACAAGGGTTCCTGACAAGGCTGAAAGGTTTGGGAGAGCCTAGAGATTGGGCGTGGGGAGGGAGAAGAAAGAAAGAAATTAACTTTATGCAGGAAGCCCAAGCAAGGTGCAAGAGAAAGGTTACCCAGGCATGCATGAGAAAAGGAGTACAAACAAGCATCTTAGGAGAATTTCTTCTTCTTTTTACTTAAATCAATCAACAAACATTTACTGAGCATCGTCTTCACATTCATTGCTGTGCTTGCTGCTGGGTGAGCAATGGATCTTCCAACTTTAATAACACCACTCCTGTGGCCATTTGCATTTAGGAAGCTCGATAGTCGCTGTTTATCTTGTGATTAACAAGGCATAGGGGCTTTAAGGAAATATAATCAAAACTAGATCTGAAGTTGTATAGCTACCCACTGATGTATTAGCAAAAGCGGAGCAAAGTTACATGCAAGCACTATTGTTTTCTTTGTGGCTCACATATTCAGCCATAGGTTTGTTGTTCTGATGGGGTGGGGAGGAGATAATGATTAAAGTGTGAGTTTTATTTGGGACTTTTGCAATATGGTCATCTTGCTATCTCATGCAGATATATTGATGCTTCCTCTGTGCAAGTCTCTGGGTCAGCCACAAGGGATGCACAGATATGGTGCCTACCCACAGGAGCCCATGTTTGCTATTACAGTGGTCCCACTCATCTGTGGTTTTGCTTTCTGCGGTTTCAGTTACTTGCTATCAACCTTGGTTCAAAAACAGTAAGATATTTTGAGAGAGAGAGAGAGAGAGCACATTCACATAACTTTTATTACAGTGTATTGTTTTAATTTTGCTATTTTATTATTGGTTTTTGTTAATCTCTTACTGTGCCTAATTTATAAATTAAATTTTATTACAGGTGTGTGTATATAGAAAAAACATAGTATATATAGGTTTCAGTAACTATCTGTGATTCTGAGCATCCACTGGGGGTCTTGGAATATATCCCCCAAGGATAAGGAGGGACAACTGTAATGTACATAAAAATTAACACTGATTGACTGCCTTCAATGTGAGGCACTACCCCACATATTTAATTTCATTATTTCATTTAATCCTCACAACAATCTGAAAACTCTGATGACTAATCCAGTTTCCAGGTAAGGAAACTAAAGGTCAATGAAGGTGAGTAGCTTGCCAATGGTGGATAAACAGGAAGTGACAGGGTTGAGATTTGGAACTAGGTCTCTCTGATTCTCTCTGGTTCTCACTGAATCTCACTTGCCCACCTGAGCAGCTTTCAGAGATACTGGTACCTAAGTCCCAGACCCATATGCTCTGATTTCATTGGTCTGGGGTGAGGCCTGAGCAGCGAGAGCTTACGCAGCTCCCTGGTGATTCCCTAAGAGGATGAGGCTGAGACTCTCAGTGACTAAGATGTGCTCCAGGACAGCTCCTGGAAGGGACGTTTGAAATTTGAGGACGGTGAGGTAAAAACTAAGTCTCCATTTCCTCAGTATTCCCCAGTTGACAATAGAAAAGGGCAAACTAGAGGGAAGGCTGGAGTGAGAAATGACAAATCTGCCATTTCATTTTGAAATTGTAGAACTCAAGATGTGAGTTCAGTAAGAACATTCTAATGAATGGGTCATTCTCTCCAGCAATAAACATTGACAAAAATATATAAAGATTTCTTTACATTTCTTCAGGTAAATCATCTGGAACAGAGATAACTAACAAATTCTTTCCATTTCTTTTCATTTATTACAGGAGAAATAAAAACTTACAGATGGAATATCCCTAAAAGATCTGGTCCAGGGCCCTCTGATCCCAACTGTATTCCGTGGGTTTACTATTCCACAGTAAACTTTGTGAAGGTAAGGTGGAAAGAGCAACCAAAAGGCTTAAAGGAATGTGGCTTTCAGTTGACTATTCAGGTCAGCGCAGCTCAGGGTGGTATATATGAAGGGGTGTAATGATTTAGAGCAGGGGTCTCATGCAGTCCGCCACTGGCCAAATCCAGCTACACTCATTCGTTTACATTGTCTATGGTTGAATTGAGTAGTTGTAACAGAGACATTATGGCCCACAAAGTCAAAAATATTTACCATCTGGTGCTTTATTAAAAAAAAAACAAAAACCAGTTTGCTGACCCTTGATTTAAAGTATAGGAGATAAAAACAAAACAAAAACCCCAAACTTTTTTTTTTTTTTTTTTTTTGAGACAGAGTCTCACTGTGTTGCCCGGGCTAGAGTGCCGTGGCATCAGCCTAGCTCACAGCAACCTCAAACTCCTGGGCTCAAGCGATCCTCCTGCCTCAGCCTCCCGAGTAGCTGGGACTACAGGCATGCGCCACCATGCTCGGCTAATTTTTTCTATATATTTTTTAGTTGTCCAATTAATTTCTTTCTAATTTTTAGTAGAGACGGGGTCTCGCTCTTGCTCAGGCTGGTTTCGAACTCTTGAGCTCAAACAATCCGCCCGCCTCAGCCTCCCAGAGAGCTAGGATTACAGGCGTGAGCCACCACGCCCGGCCAAAAACCCCAAACTTTTAATTACCAAATTTAGAACTTTTGAGGTAGATTAAAGCAAAAGAGGATATGTAAACAGATAACAATAAAATAAAGTACCTTAGAATATAATTTATTCATGGTGTTGGATGCGTGAGATCTGCTTATTTTGAAGGCATTACCAGGGCTATTAGGTATCAGGAAAAGAAAGAAACTGAAACTATGAAACTATTTGAGTAATAAATAGTCTAATCTAGAAATAAAAGGAAAATATTCAATACTGAATTTGAGTCAGGTATGGGTATATAAAACAACAATAATCATTAATTATATATCATAAACCAAAGTCCAAACTAAACTCATCTAATATAAAATGTAAGCATTGCTCATTATAGAAAAATGTGAGGGATTATCTCACCCTTCCTCTTAGATATTAGAAGGCTTATAGTCATGTCCTTGGGTTGTACTGGGCACTGTTAGAGTACAGGAGATAGACATATAAGGCCCTTGAAAAAATAAACTTACATATTAGAATTATGGGAAACCCATATTTATTTGTTTATTTTTATGCATCCCAATAAATAATTTGTTGAGCACTTGTGATGTGCAAATGACCCTACGACTGCTGTGAGGGACACAAATATTCTTGTGTTGAAGAAACATAACTTTGTAGGGAGAAGAATACTTACAGCTATAATACAACTCTGAATCTGGTGAATTCTATAGGAGTGGTGGGCTAACCAAGGCACTATAGGAAGCTTTGGGAAGTCTAGAAGAAAGAGCATTATGAGCAAAGCTGAAAATAGGGAAGTGGAGGATGTGTTTGAGACATGTGGAAAGTCCCATTTGGGTGTCATATAGGGTCCCGAAGGAAAGCAGGGGGGAACCTAAGCCAGAAAAGTTCACTGGGGGAGCACATGGAAGAGCTCGCAGAACTGTAAAGGGTTTGTGCTTTATTCTGTAGGCCATGGAACATCACTTAAGACTTAGGTATGGGAGTGGAGATTAATCTGGTGGTGGTCAGGAGGGCAGGCTGGAGGGTGGCTGAGCCAGAGCCCAGAGAGGAACCAATTTCTAGTCTAGGGTGAAGTATTATAATAAGATCCTACACTAGAATGGTGGCAGGTGGAATGGAGTATCACTAAATTATGTAATGGCTTTTCTAATTCAGTTTATTTTTCTTTCAGGACATGTATAGTGGTTTGATGGGTCCTCTGATTGTATGTCGAGAAGGAATATTGAATGAAAAGGGAAGAAGAAGTGATATTGATTATGAATTTGCTCTCTTGTTTTTGGTATTTAATGAGAATGAATCCTGGTATCTGGATGAAAATATTAAGAAGTATCTCAATAAAGATCCACGAGATTTTAAGCCCTCTGATGATTTTGAGGAGAGCAACAGAATGCATGGTAAATCAGGGGTTTAAAAAGAAAACCATTATTGAGATAAGCTCATAGAAATTCCTGTAATTGTAGGAGGCCCCCAGCAACCTTCTCTGAGCCTTTCCCCCTTCCCCAGGCACCTGGAGTGAAGCTTTCCTTCAGAGTGAACCAGCCTAGCCACTTGTTGTCTGGCTGCAAAGTCATTGAGGCTTTGAACCAACCTTTAGGGGCATATACCTCTCAAAGCTGGGATCTCTAAACTGTGATGTAATTCCTTAAACATAAGGCATCACTTATTGCTATATTTCTATAAGAATACACCATAACTTGTTATTTTTTTTTTTTTTTTGAGATGGAGTCTCACTCTGTCACCTGGGCTACAGTGTAGAGTGTTGTGGCGTCAGCCTAGCTCACTGCGACCTCAAACTCCTGGGCTCAAGCAATCCTCCTGCCTCAGCCTCCCAAGTAGCTGGACTACTGGCGTGAGCCACCACGCCCAGCTAATTTTTCTATTTTTAGTAGAGATGGGGTATTGCTCTTGCTCAAGCTGGTCTCAGACTCCTGACCTCAAGTGATCCTCCAACCTCGGCCTCCCAGAACGCTGGATTACAGGCGTGAACCACTGCACCTGGCCACACCATAACTTCTGTTTGATCACATTTGAGGGTCTGGTTTAACTTGTCTCTGGGCCATGAAACACCATCACCAAATTTTTGTTTTAATGTCTCTGTGTTATTTAATTCTATGTAATTTAAGGTAGGTTGGTTTGTTTGGGCAGGAGTAATGTACTCAGATGGACACATCCACACTGTCTCACCAAGACCTACATTTGACCAAAAGTGCACAAAAGGATAGGCCTTGCCCAAGGTCACAAAGCTGGCTGTTAACATGGATTAGAATACAGTAGCGTGATCCCCCATTCAGTTACTGTTTCTGCTACCAAATTTGCTTCCCTCGACCAAAGTCTTTTAGTATGATCTCTGTTTTTAATGAATGCAGCTTATTTGGCTATGCCGTGATGCACAGCATAAAAAGTCAGTCAGAAGAAGAGGAGCAAGAGTCACCCTCATGTCAACTGAGTTTGCTTTGGTCATTGTTGGGTCATGGGCTCAGCCCAGGTGAAGCTCTGGCTCTCCTGTTTTTGTAGATTCAGCCATAACTAATTGACTAGGCTGAACCAGTTCAGGATTAAACTAGTTCTCAGAAAGTATTAAGAAATATTAAGAAAATATCTTCTAATTCATCAATTTTGATTTGTATAAACTTGATCATTTGTGCCTTAGTTCACTCATCTGTGGAATGCTATAAATCTTGCTACTTCACCAGTGAGCCTGTACCCCAATTCCTAAGGAGAATACGCTGAATAGATAAACAAACACTGCCACCAAGATGTGGCTTTAAAAAATGAACTGCTGTTTCTCTTTTCTGGCTCTCTCTGTATAAGGATTTCTGGGTCATCTGAGTTTTGGGTCTAGAATGGTAGGGACGTTGGTAACTATGAGTGAGATTGTTACATGTTTACCAGGTAGATGAAAGTATCAGTGACCTTGAGATCCTCTGGAACCATTTTTAAAACCAGATTAAGTGTCTTTTCACTAACCAAAGGCTATTTTCTTTCCATCTTCTTAGCTATTAATGGGAAGATTTTTGGGAATCTCCATGGCCTCATAATGAATGAAGACACAATGACAAACTGGTATTTGCTAGGGCTAGGAAGCGAAGTGGACATCCATACCATCCATTACCACGCTGAGAGCTTTCTTTTCAAAGTGAGTGTACGGACAATGCTTTGGGGAAGAATTTTTGACACAACAGATTCAAAGTATTTCCACTGGAAAATAAGGGGTTACTTGGCAATAATGCTTGTGAGGCGTGGTGTTTCATATTAGAGAATGGAACAAAATAATGTGATTATACCCTTCCCCTGGTAGATATTTCTTAATATGTATATTCTCCAAGCCTCAGATGAGTTTTTTCAACAGTCATATGGCGAGAATTCTGACCACCCTGGATTATGTTGTTAATAGTGTATGGAGAAGTACCCATAGTATTTGTCCCTTTTCCTAATCCTTCCATTTTTTTCCTTTCCCTTTCCTTCCTCTCTGCCCCTCGTTCTTTCTTTCTTTTTTTTTTTCCCCTGTGAGATTAGCTAATAGAATAGTCCTACCCAGCAAAGGAGATATTTTGAGCTCTGGCTTGAGCCTGCAAACTTGATCTTGACTTTTGCCCTGGTGAGCTGGGCTGCACCATGTGTGACCTTCTGCTCCCTAGCATCGAGCTATACCATGTGGGTGGTGCTGGCTGTGCAGCAGGATCACCTGGGGAACTGTGCAAAAAAATAGATGGCCAGGCCCCACCCTAGACCTGTGGAATCAGAATCCCCAGGGTTAAGGTCCAAAAGTCTGTCATCTCGAGTTTCAGTGTCATCTACAAGAAAATAGAATAGAAAAGAATAATCACATCTGATCGATGGGGGAAACTAGAATTGATCCTTTTCTAGTTAAACAGGAATAAATAGTAACTTTAATAAAACATCTAATATCCTTTCCCCTCTGTATATTTCAACATTGTTTAGGACACCAAGTATAATATTAGCCTATGATGATTAGCGTTTTCACATATTAAATGGCTGTGTTGCTTTTCAGCATTTGGCTTTTTCAACAGACATTTCAAAAATTACATTAAAAATTTATAAAATTTAATAAAATATACAAATTATAAAAATTTTATATTTGTACAAACTTTAAAAATGAAGTATAATTTACACTGCATAAAATCCACCCTATTTAGTGTACAGTTCTCTTTTGATAAGCAAATACAGTGGTGTAACCAACACCAATCAAAATATAGAACTGTCCCGACCCGCGGGATAGTCAACGTAGACCTGCAGGGGAGGGAGTGGGAAATAGGAGAGGCGAAAGACACAAGAAATGGAGACAAGACAGGAGTCTGATCAAGTCTCATTTATTGGTAGTAAGGCAGAGGCTTAAGTACGGTAGAAGGAGGAAGTAGAAAGGGGGGCGCTTTCCGGGGTGCTGGTGTCCAGGGGGCTTCCGTAAAAGGGAACCTCTGGGCGGCAGACAAGGGCCATGTCACAATGGGTAACTGGAGACCACCAAGCTTTTCGCGGGCTTTTTATCGCATCCCGCGGGCTAGTCGGCCATCTTAGATGAGCAGACCGGACCACATGGCTCCGGACATAGAACACTTCCATCACCTCCTAAAATTTCCCCTTTGCACCCCCTAGTGTCAACTACTTGCCCACACTTAACACCTTGCAACCACCGATCTGTTTTCTGTCCTTATCCTTTTGCCTTTTCCGAAATGTCATATGGAAATCATACTTTGTGGCATCTTGTTTCATTTAGCATAGGCGTTTGAATTGCATCCATCTTGTGTGTATCAGTGGTTCATCCATTTGATTGTTAAGTAGAATTCCATTCTACTCATCCGTGCATTGTATGGATATGATGCAGTTTGTTCATCCATTCTCTTGTTGAGGGACATTTGAGTTGTTTCCAAGGTTAATTATTACAAATAAAGCATTTGTGCACATGTTTTTGTGTGAACCTAAGTTTTCATTTCCCTTGAGAAAATACCTAGGAGTTGGATTGCTAAGCCATGTGGTAAGTGTATGCTTAATTTTATAAGAAACTGCCAAACTGTTTTTCCAAAGCGGCAATACCATCCTGCATTCCCAACAGAAATACATGAGAGCTCCATATGTTCCCCATGCACATACACACTTGGTATTTTTAGCTTTTATTTCATTTTAGTTTTTCTTAGCCATTCTATTAAGTGTGTAGTGATATCTCATTATTTTATTATTTGCATTTTCCTAATGGGTAATGATATTGAGCATCTTTTCATGTGTTTTTTTGCCATCTGCCATCTGTAAATCTTTGGTAAAGCATCCAAATTGTATGCCCATTTTTAAAAATTGGGTTGTTTTCTTACTGTAGAGTTTGAGGGATTTATATATTCTAGATAGAAATCCTTTATCAGCTATGTGATTTGCAAATATTTTGCTCCCAGTTTGTGACTTATCTTTCCATTCTCTTAACATTATCTTTTAAAGAGCAGAAGTTCTTAATTTTTGATGAAGTCCAATTTTCCATTTTTTTCTTTTATGGATCTTGCTTTTGGTATCATATATAAGAAATTTTTGCCTAACACAAGGTCTTTCATTTTCTTTGTTTCCTTTTAGAAGTTTTATACTTTTAGGTTTTATAATTAGGGCTCTGATCCATTTTAAGTTAATTTCCATATATAGTTTAAAGTACAGATTGAGGCTCATTTTTTGGTTTTTTGTCATATGAATGTCCAAATGTTCCATTACTACTGGTTGAAAAGACTATCTTTTCTCCCACTGAATTGCCTTTACACTTTTGTCAAAATAATATTGATCACATATTTGTGGGTCTATGTTTGGGCTCTCTATTTTGTTACATTTATCTATATGTCTGGCCTTTCTTTTTCTTTTTCTTTTTTTTTTTTTTGAGACAATCTCATTCTATTTTCCAGCCTAGAGTGCAGTGGCATAGTGACATATCATCATAGCTCACAGTAACCTCAAACTCCTGGGCTCAAGCAATCCTCCCTCCTTAGTCTCCTTAGTAGCTAGGACTACAGGTGTGCACCACTACACCTGGCTAATTTTTTCATTTTCTGTAGAGATGGGGTCTTATTATGTTGCTCAGGCTGGTCTTGAACTCCTGGGCTCAAGTGATCCTCCCGCCTCAGCCTCCCAAAGTGCTGGGATTATGGGCATGAGTCACTGTGCCCAGCCCTGTCTGTCCTTTCTTGAATGCCACAATGTTTTGATTACTTTAGTGTTACAGTAAGTCTTGAAATCAGGTGGTGTTTGTTTTAGCTATTCTAGATCTTTGCCTTCTCATATAAATTTTAGAAACAGCTTGTTGATTTTTGATTAAAGAATCCTGCTGGGCTTTTGCTTGAAATTGCATTGAATCTATACAATGGTTTGGGGAGAATTGATACCTTAACAATATTGAAGCTTCCAATCCATGAACATGGTATATCTATTTATTTAGATCTTCTTTGATTTCTTTCATCAGCATTTTGTAGTTTTCAGCATATGGATTTTGTATATTTCAATTTATAACTCAGTATATTATGGACTTTGGTGATAGTGTAAATGGTAATGTTTTCATTTCAATTTCTAATTGTTTGTTACCAATATGTAGAAATATAATTGATTTTGGCATATTGACCTTATATCCTACAACTTTGCTAAATTCATTTAGTTCCAGTAGCTTTTCTGTAGATTTTAGGTAGATTTTTTTCTACATAGACATTATGTTGTCTGTGAACAGAGATGGTCTTATTTCTTTATTTACAATCTGTATACTTTTTCTTTTTATTTTTCTCATTTCAGTTTGAGGGAGTATTTTCTTTCTTTTCTTGTCTTATTGTACTGGGCTAGGACCTCTGGTACAGTTTTGAATATGAGTGGTGAAAGTGGACATCTTCACCTTATTCTTAATTTTAGAGGGAAAGCATTTAGTCATTCACCATTGAATATAAAATTAGCTGCAGCTTTTTTGCAGATCCCATTACCATGTTGAGAAAATTTCCTTCCATTCTTAGTTTGATGATAGTTCTGATCATGAATAGATGTTAAATTTTATCAAATGTTTTCTCCACATCTATTGAAATAATCATATGAATTTTCATCTTTAGTCTATTGATGGATTTCCTTTAGTTCACTGCTGAATTACATTTATTGATATTAGAATTTTAAACCACCTTTCCATTCTCAGGATAAACTTTACTTGGTTATGATGAATTATCCTTTTTATGTTGTGCTGAATTTGATTTGCTAGTATTTCATTATGTATTTTTGCATCTATGTTCATGAGGAACATTGGTCATAGCTTTCTTTTCTTAAAATATATTTGTTTGGTCAGGGTAATTCTGGCTTCATAAAATGAGTTGGAAGTGTTCTCTTCTATTTTCTGGAAGAGTCTTGTTTAGAATTCGTATTATTTCTTCTTTAAATATTTGGTAGAATTTGCCAGTGAAGCCATCGGGACCTGGACTTTAATTTGTTGGAAAGTCTTAATAAAATTTCAGTTTCTTTAATAGATACAGTGCTATCCAGGTTATCTATTTCTTCTTAAGTGATCATTAGCAGTTTGTGTCTTTTAAGGAATTTGTCCATACTATCTAACTTGTAGAATTTATGGACAAAGAGCTGTTTGTCCAATATTCCTTTATTATCCTTTTTAGTTTTGTGTATTTTTTTTTTCTTGTTTTGGTTAGTCTGTCTAGAGATTTGTATTAATTATCTGTTGCTGCGTAACAAAATTACTCTAATACCTAGTGGCCGAAAACAACAAACAATATCTCAAATTTCCTCTGGGTCAGGAATCTGAAAGTAGTTTAGGGAGGTGATTCTGACTCAGTATCTCTCACAAGGCAGCAATCAAGATGTCACCTGGGGCTGTAGTCATTTAGGGTGTGTCTGGAGCTGGAGGATCCATTTCCAAGTTCTCTCCTATGGCTGTTGACTGGAGGCTTCATTTCCTCACCATGTGGGTGAGGCATGGGAGCTGGCTTCCCCGGAGGGAGTGATCCAAAAGAAGAGAGTGGGAGAGGGTCTAAGACAGAAGCCATGGTCTTTTATAACCTAATCTGGGAAGTGGAACATCAACAAAAAAAAAAGAAAAAAGGCACAAATTACATCACTTCTGCCATATGCTACTGGTCACACAGGCCAGGCCTCATACAATGTAGGAGGAGACTACAAAGGTTATGAGTACCAGGAGGTCAGGACCATCCAGGCTGTCACAGAAGCTGGCTACTACAGGGTTTATCAATTTCATCAATCTGTTCAAGGTACTAGCTTCAGGTTTCTTTGACATATCTCCATTGTGTTTCTATTCTTGATTTTATGGATTTCTGCTCTTTATTATTTCCTGCCCTCTGCTTACTGTGGGTTTTTTTTCTCTTCTCTTTTTTCTTGCTGTATTAAGCAAAGAAAGTCACAAGCTGTAGTTTTTGTTTTTGTTTTTTTTTTTCAGATGGATAAATCTTACCGAGAAGATGTGTATGATCTTTTCCCCATGACATTCCAAACCATCGAACTCTTTGCAGATCACCCAGGGACATGGCTGCTACACTGTCATGTGTCTGACCACATCCATGCTGGCATGGAGACAACCTACACAGTCCTCCGGAACATAGGTACTGTTGTCTGTCAGTGATGCCAACTGATGGCAACAAGCTTCCTGTAGACTCTCATGAGAAGAGGCATGACAAAAATCCAAGATACAGCCCCCAAGGAGCTCAGAGTCAAGTAAAAACAGATATGTAAACATGTAACTATAATAGAGTATGATGTGTGTCATAGCAGAGTGCAGTGTACAGGGTTTACTAGCAGTGGTAGGAGGGAATGGTTAACAGTTTGGGGATATGAGCCAGGGTTTCACAGAAGACACAATGCTCCAGATGGATCTTCATGGGGGAGCAGAAGCGGGAAAGGTGGGTGGGGTAGGAAAGCGTGTGCATGGGTATGAAGTAGCAGAGTGAGAATCCAAGAAAGACTGGCAGATACTGCTAGGATAAAGTCCTCACTGTGACATGAGATGACTCACGTTATGGAAAGAACCTCCTTCTGTCGTTTATAAACAATCAACTTGTCTTCTTTGTGCAGACAACAGGATTCCCTACTCCACCATGTCCCCTTCAGGAGGGGCATTCCACCCGGCCACGGTGCCCTCCGATGGTAAGGATAACCTCACCCTGCATGTGAATGGGTCAACATTTCATTCTTCAAAAAAGGCAGGGGCCTGATACCTCACTTTTTTCCTTTTTTTTTTTTTTAACAGAACAACCTGGCAAGGAAAATCTCTATTTCTTTGGCAAGAGTCTGGGTCCTAGAGGAGCCAAGGCAGCCTTGGTCGTCCTTTTCATCATCGGACTCCTCCTCCTGATCGCCACTGTGATTCTCTCCCTCAGACTCCACTCTGCGAGGAAGCAGATGGTTTACCAGGAAGTCCAGTCCTGTGCACTCCCCACGGATGCTCTGTGAACCATCTGGTCTTTCTCAGCAGGGAGGGGCGAGGCCCCACAGCTGGCTGGCCGGATGGCGGCCAACAGGGAAATAGGACCAAGGCATCGTTCACCAAGGAAGGTTGACACTGTATCCTGGATCAGGCTTCTGATCCTCTGGAGCATCATCCAAAGCAATTTGCTTTTGTTTGCTTATTTTTAAATGGGCTGTGAATAATCCTCAGGTATAAGAGACAGAAAAGGGAGCACACATGTGACACAGAAGTGCCAACTCTTAGTCTGTTCTTGGGATGATTTTGCTTAAGCAGGAGACTCTCTGAAAGGTATCTTTATATCCCATCTTTCCTAGTTATTAAACAGTGCTTCCTTAGCTAATTGTCAAAGTTACTGGATGAACAACTTCTAGAAAGAGTTATAGTGCTTTAGACATCTAACTGCAAGGGCACTGATTTTTCAGAACCGTTCCATAAGATGTTTCTTATAGTTTTTTCAGGGAAACTATCTTTCTGAGTTTCTGGGCTTAAATCTTGAGTCTGATTTTTCATTCAGTTCATTTCAATGTCTAAGTCAGTATCTGCTGATAGAATTGGACCGAATATATTTTTTGGGGGGCTTTAACCAGTTCTCCTACCCTTTTCTCCTTTAATTTAAATAGCCTGTGCACTGATTGTTATAAAAGGCAAAGTTATAAGCTTTTAAAAAAATTGCTGCTGTTTTTATGCAAACCTGCAGAAATACATTAATGTTTACAACTCACTTCATGTTATATGTTTCTACAATACGTTTCCATGGCAATGCTTATATTTTCAAAAATCAACTAGAGAATTTGTATTTACATTTCAGATTGTGAGAGGGTTGGGATTTGTGAAAGAGCAGGCTAGGTTCTCCCACTGTGAGTCAGAGACTCCCCGGGATTTTAGTGTAAGCTCTCATTAAGAGAGGGAAACTTTTCAGGGGGCAAGTCTGGGCTTGAATTAATTTTTTTTTTCTTTTTTTTTTTTTTTTTTGAGACAGAGTCTCACTCTGCTGCCCAGACTAGAGTACAGTGGCATCATCATAGCTCACTGCAACCTCCAACTCCTGGGCTCAAGTGATCCTCCTGCCTCAGTCTCCGGAGTGGCTGGGACAGCAAGTGCATGCCACCACACCTGGTTAATTTTCCTGTTTTTTTGAGAGACAGGGTCTCACTCAGGTTGGTCTTGATCTCTTGACCTCAAGCTATCCTCCCACATTGGCCTCCCAGAATGTTAGGATTACAGGTGTGAGCCACCGCACCCAGTTGGGCTTGAATCTTGGGTCTGATTTTTCATTCAGTTCAGGGGAATCTTTCCAAGTGTCCATCTTCTATGAAATAATAACAGTCTTATGTGAGAAACACCAGGGGGAATTCATCAATGCAGCTGACTGGTTGGGAAGAGAAAGGATCTCTCAAAAATCTGAGATTCCATGCCTCTTAAAGACATAGCCCTTTATGGGAGGAGAAAAAGAGAAAGAGGAAAGGGTAGAAAAAGAGTCTTGGTGGCAGTTTTTGAAACTATTAAATCAGCTTTGAAAATAAGTATTACAGTTTCAAAGACTCAAATGCAAAAATAAAATAGGAACAACTAAATTCAACCCATTACAAGGCAATCTACACTCTCTGTATGCATGCTTAGACATTAGGGGTAAGATTGATAAAAGCAACATTGTTTATTACTAGACTGAGAAACTGGCCAGGGCAAGATGCATGCCCTGGGATGCCAATGCTGACGTTAGTACATCTACCTTAGCGGTGGATCATTTGAATGTCCAGGTGAATGATTAGGACCTAATAAATACTCTGGTGGTAGAGGGACCTTTCATACTTTCTCATCTTGGTGAGGGGAATCGGGAAATTTGATAGAAGTTATAGACTTACATAAAAGAGGATGCAAATGATAATAGTTCTGTTCATAGTTTGCTTGAATGTCATATCAAACAGGATACACAAAAGATTTTGAATTTCAGCCTGTTAACCACTAACAATGTGATTTTATAATACATGCTCTACAGTTTTCATATATGTGTAGGCTACATAATTTCATAATAATTATGGTAAATGCCTTATTTATTACTCACCTTTAGTAAGACAATGAATTGTTTAGTTGTAAGTGTTTTCCTTTTCAGTTTTTTTTTTAATGAAAATAAAACCACAAAGTAGTTTGATTGTACCATTTCTCTTTTTAATAAAGTTTAACGTAAGATGGCTATGTGCATGGCTTTTTTTTTCACTCAAAATTTTCTATCACTAAATGGGCTCAGGTTTTAAAGGAGAATTCTCTTTTAAATATTTAGCCACTATGACTATGCCAGTTATACTTTTTAGGGGAAATGAAACAGAATAATATACCTCCACAAATAATATGACTCCTCAAACATGGTTTCCTCAAATGTACTACACGCCTTAATTCTCAGCCTCACTCTCTTGAGAAAATCAACCTTACCTGCACTTACGCACACCTTTCCCTCCTCTTACAGGGGAAGAGTGGCCCTGCTCCTAGCGGGACAGTCTTTCCACTTGACTCTGGACCTCATTCCTTCTTGCTTTCACAAGGACTTCATTCCCTTAGTTATCAGTTTTCCCTGCTACATCGTTCTGTGATACCATCTGCAATGTCCACCATTAAAAACAGAAAGCAAAGATTCATCCTCCTTAATTCCATAACCCCCTCCAACCCAATTTCTCTCTTCCCTTGATAGCAGAACATAAACAGTTCTCCACACCTGTTGCCTGTACCACTTCACCCCATGCACCCCTCAGCCCATTCCAATGGCTTCCAATCCATTGTGCCCAGCTCCCACACCCCAATCAGCTGTTGTCAAGATTACCAACCATGACGCCATTTTCAGTGGCTTCTTCTCCATCTTTATCTTATTCAACCTCTCAGGAAGAATTGACAGCTCCTTCCTTTTGGACGCCTCTTAGTCCCTTGGTTCTGCAAGGTGACTTCCCGCCAGCCTTCCTTCTTCTTCCATTGCTATTCCTTCCCAATCTCTTTTGCTAACTCCTTCTCCTCTGTCTGACTTCAATGTTAGCATGCCTCAGAACCTGATACTAGGCCTTTTCTCCCTTTTTACCTTCTAGGGGAGGGTGAATCACATCCCCAAAGATTTCATGTCCTAATCCCTGAAACTGTGAATGTTAGCTTATGGCAAAAGGGACTTTGCAGGCATGATTAAGTTAAGAATTTTAGGATAAGGAGTTTATCCTGAGTTAGCCATATTGAATGTGTCCTTAGGAAAGAGAGGCAGTGGGAGAATTTGACTATAGAAGAAGAAGGCAATGTGACAACTGAAGCAAGATGCTATGCTCTTGGCTTTGGAGATGGAGGAAGGGGCCATGATCCAAGAAATGTGAAGAATGCAGTTCTAGAAGTTGGGAAAGGCAAAGAAATGGATTTTCCTCTAGAGCCTCCGAAGGGAATTTGGCCTTGCTGATACTGAAACTGATTTTGGACTTCAGAGTTCCACAAGTGTAAGAAAATAAATATGTGCCACCAAGTTTGTGGTAATTTGTTACTGTGTGCTCCATAGTTTATTTCACTCATCCTCATGGATCTGAAAACCACCTTTATGCTAATAAATTCAATATGTGTTTCTCCAACCCTGACCTTGGGCTATAGACTCACACAAACCCTGTTCAAGCAGGGCCACTGCATCAACCCCTGGCCAGCCTCTCTACCACCCCTCCTGTCCCTCCCAACTGCTGTCCACACACTGCCGCAGTGTTCTTCCAAATCTCATCACATCACTTTTCTGGTTAATATGCTTTTAATGTCTTTCAATTTCACTTTTTGATAACAGCTAAACTCTGTACCTTGGTCTTTAAGGCCTAGCCTGATATGTCCCATGCCTACCTCTCCAATTTCTTGAACTTTACTCTGCTCCAGCCTTTACCAGTTTCTATGCCTCGTAAGTTCCCTCTTGCCTCAGGGCTTTTGTACATGCTGCTTTCTATGTCTGAAATGCTTTCCCTCCCCAGCATCTCCATCCTCTTTCCTAGCTCCCCTAGTTCAGATGTGAACTCCCCAGACTGACCTCTCTGAAGAACATCCCTACCCTACCACATCTCTTCTGTTTTCCTTTGTAGCACTTATCACAGGACATAATTATTTTATATAACTTTTAGCTTGAGTTTTGCTTGCCTCTTTGAATGGAATGTAGGCTCCCTAGAAGCGAGGACCCTGACCTGTTTAGGTCACTTGTTACATCCCTAGCACAGAAAATATATAATCATTCAGAAAATATTTCTTGAATGAATGAATGTGTAAATAGAACAGGCAGTCTAGTGAGCTTGACTATTTTGACTCTGGCTATTTGGGTTGAAAAAGATCTCAAATGCAAATGTCAAGGATCTCAAACAAGCAAAACAGAGTTCCATGAGACTAGTTGTGAGGTCCACAACCCACCTTGGCTTCCTTCTAACAAATGACACTAGGGCAAGAGGTGGGAGCAGGGTGGACTTGGGAGGAGGGTTTGTTATTTAATACCTAAATGCACTTTATAAAAAAGCAATGTCATCAAAAACATAGAAAGTCTGGGAAACTCTCATGGCCAAGAGGAGCTAAGAAGATGTAATGACAAAACATAATATGATAACATTTCTTACCTAGGTGGGATGCTGGAACAGAGGGATATTGGGGGCAAATTAAGAAAATCTGAATAAACTACAGACTTTAATTAATGTATTGATATTGGCTCATTTATTGTAACAAATGTACCATACCAATGTAGGATGTTAATAACAGGGAACCTGGGTACCACAATAGGGGGATACATGGGAACTCTGTACCATCTCCTCAATTTTTCTGTAAATCTAAAACTAAAGTTAAGATTAAAATCGAATTCTATTTTTTAAGAAAGCAATGTTATCTGCACTCTCATTTGACATGTTAAACTCCCCAGATTGGTAATGACAGCTGTCAAATGCTAAGTGCCCCCGATGTGGTGAGCATTGTTATATACATTACCACATTTAATCCCCGGAACAACCTAATGAGTTGGAAGTATTATCCCTATTTGGAGAGCGAGGAAGTTGAGGCTTAGAGATTTCCAGTGACATATCCTTGGTCATATAGCAATTAAGTGGCAAATCCAGGAGCTGAACCCAAGGTCTCGTCTTCTCATTGCTTCCCAAAGAACGTTGGCACACGTCAGATTGCTTCGTTTGATTTCTGCAGTGGGAAAAATGGCTCCCTTAACTTCCACGCCCTTCCGTGCCACTCATCTCTGTCCTCAAGGCCATGGCACCAGTTTGGGGTGTCGTTACTTCTCATGCGTAAAATTTTGAGAGCCTCTTCTTAACCTGGCCTCTCCTCCCCTTCCAATCCATTCTACATATGGCTGGCAGATTAACCATTTTAAAGCACAACACCATTTATATTCCTTCCCTCCAAACACTCCCTAATGCCTACTGAAAAAAATCTCAGACTACCTCTTCTGGCCACAACCTTTTCATCTCTGATTTCTTCCCTTTCACCAGCCCTACACCAGTGTCAGGTGGCTCTCCTTCCTACTTCCCAACAAGTTCAATGTCTTGCTTCTATTTTAAATTCAGCAAAAGTGGAACGACTTCATACTGAACGTAAAAAATTGCCAGAACTGAGGGCAATTTACACAACTGCTGAGATTCAATCCAGATCTTCAGAAGACTTGATATGTCTTGAAAAAACGGACATGCAACCCAGCATCACACCGCATAAGGCAGAATGAGATAATGTTATATGTTTCTGGAAGGGGAGACACAGTGACTGCCTTAGCCAAGGTGGGAGGATTAGTCAGGGTTCCTGGGATTGGCCTGGATCCAGGCTCTTACCGGATGGCAGGGGAAAGCGCTAACTTAAGCCTGAGACCTAGTCACGCTCAGCGCCCGCCACAGTCCCCGCGCTCCCTGGCACGCAGAGCCCCTGGAAAAGTCCAGCGCTCCCCCTGCAACACACCCTCTGTCTACACTGCTCGATTGGCCTTTTATGGCACCCATTGTTCTTTGAAGCTTTCGTAGCTCCTTTTAACCCCATTTCACCGTGTAGCAATGTTGGGAGTGGGGCGCAAAAGAGGGCCATTCCCCTCCACAGGAGTCGCCTGCAGAAATGATTTCAAACATCCCTGCGAGGAAGTGGGGAGAATGAGGAAGGGAAGGACGCGAGAATCTTCAGAGGTGCCGCTCGCGGGGGAAGATCCCTTGGCTGGGGCGGGCCCGAGGGGCGCGGGATGCAGCCGCGCCCACCCCGCTCCGCGTCACCGCGTCTTCCGGAAACTCCACGCCCCCGGGTACGCGGTTTCCCCGGATGGTTCCGGAAGAGCGCGGCAGAGCCGGCTGAGAACGCACGGGCCGGCCCGGAGGCAGCTTCAGCCGCTGGGGCGGCGCAGAGGGGCCGGGCGAGGGGCGCGCTTTGTTCCGCGGTTGGTTCTGGCTCCCGCGGGCGCGGAGCCCGGAGAAGCGCAGAGCCCGGTGTCGCGCGCGCCCCGGGGACCAGCAGTGGCTGTGCGCGCGGGGGCGGGACCGCAGCACCCGGAGCGCCGGGGTCCCAGCCCCGCCGGCGGAGGCCGTGAGCGCGAGAGCTCGAGTGCCCAGCGCAGCCCCGAGCCCCCTCTAGCAGGGCGCCGAGCGCGGGCAGCTGCGGCTCCGGTGGGGTCGCTGGGAGCCCGAGGCGCCGAGACACAAAGGCGGGCGAGATGCGGGCGCAGCTGGGGCGCGGGCAAAAGGAAAGCGAAAGCCGGGCTTCCCGCCGGTGACGGGGTGAAGGCGCCGCGCTGCCCTCCCGACGCCCGCAGTACCTGGGCCTGTCCTCGCGGGCCTACCTGGCCGAGCCCGGCGCCTCGCAGCCATGGCCATCGCCCACCTGGCCACGGAGTACGTGTTCTCCGACTTCTTGCTGAAGGAGCCGGCCGAGCCCAAGTTCAAGGGGCTGCGGCTGGAGCTGGCCGTGGACAAGATGGTCACATGCATCGCTGTGGGGCTGCCCTTACTGCTCATCTCGCTGGCCTTTGCGCAGGAGATCTCAATTGGTGAGGCCCAGGGGCCCGAGGGCGGGTCGGGCTGGGCCAGCGTTATGGGGGCTACCCGGGGCTGGTGAGCTGGGCTTTTCCTGCGCACACGCCTGAATCCCGGCGCGCCCCTCGTGCGGCTCGCAGCTGAGATGGGCTTGAATGTTGGGAAGAAAGATGGCCCCAGTTTTATGGTCCAAAGCGTTCTTTGCCCGCGTGTCTTATTTCGTACCCCGGTAGGCTCTGTTCGCATCCCTACTCAATTCTTGTTCCCGGGGCCCCACTGATTGGACTGTGGCTTAGAGTTCATAGCCCACCCTTATGACTGACGCCCTTGCCACCAGATTTGCCAAGAACAGCTGTGTCCCCTTTTTTCACCCTGTCCTTCACATATTTGTGCAGTCACTTAAAATTTGTACCAGAGAAGTTCCTGAGTAGCTAAATGGAGGATGTGAAGACAAGTGCTCCATGAAAAGTGTGTTCTCCTTTTCCTGTCTTAACATTTAATTGGTATTTCCTGAGACTTTAGCTCCGCAGGGATGTGAATGATAGGAAATATCTGCCCTTGGCAGGTATTAGATCCTCCACTCTGAGGGGCACCTTACGATGAATGTGAGATGAGGGAGCCCCCTTCATGTAAATCTCATTTGATCTTAAAACAGTTCTGTGAGATTCAAAAGTCTGGTGGTTTGGGCAGGATCGCGTGGCTAAGTGGCTGGTCTTCCTCATCAGCTGTTCAGACTTTCAGCACAGGAGAGAGTATATGAATTAATAGGAAGGTAGTGTGGGAGGGTGAAAGACAGGTTGGGGGCAGGCTGGGGTGGGGGGAGAGGAAGAAGAGGCCAGTGGAACTGGACCTTGGGAAAACTTAATGTCAGACAGTGGATGGGAATTGGATAAGCAGAAGTGAAACCTTTGTTGAGATTTTCAGAAGGCAGAGAATGTTACATATTCCCAGAAGGGGAGACACAGTGACTGTCTTAGCCAAGAGGGGAGGATTAGTCAGGGTTTCTGGGATGTGAGAGTGAATATGGGCCTAGGTCAGGTTAGGACAGAAGAGCACAGACTGATGGTTTCAGAACTGTGAAGTTAATGTTTAAGCAGACTGATTGAAAACAACAGCACTTAATAAATAGTAGCCTAATTGTGGCAGGGAGGGTCTGTGAAGGATGTGGGAGGACATAGCTGGGAAGGCCGAGTGCCAAGAGATGGGGCGTCAGGTGAAGTCTTGTGCATGGGTGGTGTGAAGGGTGTAAGGGAAGAATGGGTGATTTCTGAGAGATCAAGGAGTAATAGGCAGCACTTGGTTACCTGGTTTTTAATAGGCTGTGAAGGGCAGGCATAGTCATTGGGGTTTTTCTTTTGCCTTTCACATGACAGTGAATTGAGAGTTCCAGCTGAAAGGGAAACCACCAAATAGCATGTGTCCTGGAGATAATCTCTCCCTTCAGTCAATTTCTCCTTGAGTACCACTGTGTTCTGAGCCCAGGGCTAGGGACTAAGGACCCAGGAATAAATGAGGCATGGTCCCTGGCCTAGGGGAGCAGATCTTAGTACCTGGTGGGGACAGAGTGCCAGGAGGGAAGAGTTGGTCATCCTCTGTGACCAAGCTCCACCTTTAGCCCATGTACTAGAGGGCTTCTAAGACACATGCATGTGTAGTGTATTAGGTACATCGAAATTGATGGACTGTCTGAGAGGCATTTTTTGAGGGGGTTGCCCATGCTGTGTGCATAGCACTGCTGTGCCTTGGGGGAGGATGTGAAAGGATTTTGAGATGGGGTCCTCTCCCTGCCCTGCAGAAGTCTACTACCCAGCCGGACATTAGAATGGACCTGTTAGCAAGTAACACCTTTCAGCCATGTATGATTTGGGGACCAGACAGGTATTGACTTCTGAGTTCCAGGCCAGTGAAGGTTGACAGGCACTTGGATGAGAGCTGTCGAGTAGACTCCCATGTCTTGTAAAGTGCTTCAGGAGTTCCAAGGGGAGGACAAGCATGTGGATGAAGCCAACAGGACCAGGGAAGACCCATCAGATTGAGTACACATTTAGCTAAAACCAGAAGAAGGGCTTTAGAGAGGATAGGAGAGGTACATAGATTAATACATGGAATTGGTACAATAGGAGCATATCATGCAACATTTAATTTTGTTCAGTTTAGCTGTATGCACTCAGCCAAAAACAAAACAGACCAAAAAAGAACAACAAAAAAGAGAGAGTGGAGTAATTTAAATGGAGCCAGCATGGTGCTCACCACATTGGTCAGTGAGCACAGGCCCCAGTAGGAATGTGTGATAGGGCCTGCCCACTTAAAACATGGCTTCATCCTCCCTTTTTTGATAATTACTCCCTCCTTCTCTGGTGCCTGGAATACTCTTTAATTGTCGTACTTTACACAATGCACTATAACCTGTCCATGTGGCTGCCTCACCTGCAAGATACTTAATCTTCTATTGATCCCTGGAAGCTGGTGTCTTGCATAGCACATTGAAGCCACTCTGTAAACATTTCTTGAGTGAATGAAAGGTGATCGCTTTTGGCATCATCAGGCGTTTATTGAGCGTGGTGTGCATGGTGCTGTTCCTTGGCACTGGGGTGTCAGACACATGTAAGACATAGACTCTGCCCCTTGGAAGCATGATTTAGCAAAGAAGTTGAACACGTAGCACTCTTAATGCAGGATTCATGGAATCCGAGCGTGTCAGGTGTGTACTAAAGCCTGGTGCAGCAGGAAGGCAGAAGGAGGGGTTTCTTCTGACTCAGGAACAGTGAGGTGTTTAGGCCAGAGAAGGGTTTGAGTTGAGCTCCAAGGCAGGGTTCCAGGTGTATGGAGCTGTGTAGGCTGAAGCTGGGAAGTGTGAGACAACGTGTGGCCACGGGAGCTTTAGGGGCATAGTCGCTTAGAGAGGTGGGAGTTGAAGTCAGTGTACAGCAGTTCCATATAAAAGAGAGCACAGCAAGTCTCATCGTTTTCCCATTTGTATTGGGGTGCGTATGCATAAAACTATTATAGAAACGAGAAAATCAACTTTAATGATTACACCTGTCAGTTTTTTCTTTTCCACTTGTATTGATAAAGTGGTATATAAAACATTAATTGTGATTATAAAATCCTCTTAAGCATAAAATTTTATTTTCCAGTTATTTTCTGGAAACTAAATTTTCTATCAACTGGTATTTTGTAAAATAGGGTTCAAATTGTAACTGGCGATTTTTGTCTTAAAGAAACATTTTTACTTTAAAGAAAATCCAATAAATCAAAAAATAGGTGTGGATCAATTTTTAGATTTAAGAGAGGGTTAGTTCTGTGTGTATTGCAGGTTAGGGAGAGAATGTCCTCGTGCAATAAAACATAATTGGCTTCATGTTAAAGACTTAGTCTTAGTCTTTGGCCTATTTTCTCACTAGTTTTGTCCACTGGGCTCCCTCTCAGAAAAGAGGGACAGAGCTTGCCCAGGCCACAGAGACCTACTGGCATGGCAGCAAGCTGACTTTTATCAAGCCCTGCTGGGTGCCAGCATGGTGGCTGCAGGTGAAGTGTCCACTCCTGGCGGGTTCTGGCCCCTCCCCTCCTGCAGCACCTCACACAGGCCCAGCGTGGAGGGGGCTGGTGTGGGGCTGCCTGGGCTGGTGGGGATTGTGTTGGGGACAGAGAGCAGAGGGGACTGTGCCTTACTCATTCACCAGATCTTGCTTTGTGTGCCCATGGCTGTGGGTCATCGTAGAAGTGATGTGGTCCAGAGGGCAGAATGGGGCTGGTGCCATGCTCAAGGTGAAGAGCAATTTTGGTAGCCTTTGCAGTAGTTTGGGGCCACAGCTGCTTATTGGTCCTGACATGCCCTGTGACAGAGTTACAAGCAGAAACACTCTTGAAGGAGTGGCAAGGAGACTCTCTTAACTTCTGACTTGTGCCTGGGAGCATTTTGAAGGCTTTTGGACAGTGTGCCAAGGGTTGAATATACGAACTAAAGCGTGCACCTGTTCTGGTTAGGCCTGATACTTCTACTCAGCCTTTCCAAAGTACTGCAGGCCTGGCTCCCTGGGAGGGTAAGATTTAGTTGGGTAGGGGGAAAATTACACGTAACTGGCACTCAGCAGAAGGCACTTTAAATTTAATTATAAGCTCAGATTATATTGCAAGTACCTCAGATTCCCTTTTGTATTTTGTATTTTGTGGCAAAGAGAAATCTGTGTTCAAAGTGCCAGTGACTTTGAGCTAGGACTCTGTGCTGTGGGAGCCAGAGAAGGGAGAACCAGTGCGGGCTTTGTTTTACCAGCCCTCACGTCTCCTTCCTCGTGCCTTGCATCATCACGTCTTGCACACAGAAGTGCTCAGGAGCAATTTAGTGAAGGAAATGTCAGGGCACACTAGAGAACTCTCCTGGGTCCCCCCGCAACCCCCCAAGAATGGCTGGGCCAAGGGAAAGGAGGAGGCATGCCAGGTATTAAAGTCAAAGTAAAATATAGAGAAAAATCTCTAAATTTAACATTTTATTTGGGAAGCAAGAATTACAATTTGGGGCATACACACAGACTGGTCTTTGGGATGTCCAAAGCACAAAGAGAAGGTTAGGAGATTTATCAGAGAAATGTTACATATTGTTTTGAAAGAAAGTTCATTGGCACTAGAGAAGCTTTTGGGAGCCTGCAGGCTGTGGTTGGTGAGTGATGGTGGTAGGTAAAACTAGTCTTAGAGTCCCACCAGGTCATTTCAGCAGCTACTAGTTAAAATTGATCTTAGGGTTATAGTAGACTATTTCAGGAGCTGGGCTTGTGGAAAAATTTAATTCTTGGAACAGGTGCTATGTGACCTGAATGCTTTTTCCCCCGGCCCCTGAACTCTGATTTAGTTGGGTATGATAAGAATGGCCCATTTGTGCCAGTTGCTTGGAAGTGCTTTCCCTGAGTGTCATTTGATGATACAAGTGCCATCCTGGGTCAGGCCAGTCTCGGCTCCCTCCTGGACATTTGCCTCGGATAATAGCAGGGAAGGGTGCACATCCTTGTGTGCGGGAGGT